ACTGATTGGCCGGTGCGTGATCCACAACTTCTGGGGTTCTTGCAAACCGTCTAGAGTATTCTGATTCCTGACCTAGTCGCTGGAGAGAAATGAAATTGAGCGGAGGCAGCGGAGGCTAATAATTTCTCTCAAAACTCTCAAAACATCTACAACTCCATTTATATATTTTTTTTACCTAGAACACCATTTTGTAAAATATTTTGTCACGTCAGAGAGGGCGCAGAGGTCAGAGCACACAGGACTTCGCACAGCCCTCAGTGTATTGATAACAGTATAGTGTGTTATGTAAGATCTCGTGACAGACTGAGCCCGTTGTGTGGTTTTAAATAAGCGTCAGAAATTAGCTCTGATCAATAATAAATGAGTATAGAAGGTACAGTATATACCAGGTCATTAAATATTAAGCCTGCTGCCCTGCCTCCCTGACCTGTTAACTCCGAGTCGAGTGAGGTGAAGAGACAAGAGCTGCGTAAGCTAAACTTCATCAAGAGTTCAAGATCCAGCGACAGAGGGCCTGACATTTCCCCCACAGCAAGAACCGAGAGAGGGTATCTGACTTCTGTGGGGCCACATAACATATTTAGACCACCATGTTAACTTTTGCTGTTTTGAAAAATGCTTATTAACATGTTTCAACAAGATTCGCTAAGTTGTTGTGTACAGTTTTGTATCATGTTTTTGAATATTTATGGAGATTTATTGTCATGTGGGATGGGGGAATGAGTGAGGCAGACTTGTGAGCAGAGAATAGGACCAAATCTTACAGCTAACCGTGAGGAGGGCTCAAAAAGGGCCCTGGAGAGATCCCTAAATTACTCAAACATGCATGGATGGCATATAAAATCTCTTCAGACATGTTTTTGATGAGGGAACAAGGTTATAACATGGCAGAAAGCAAATAAATTAAGGCTCTGCAATTAATTGAATTTTAATTGCGATTTTGATTTGTGTGTCAAACGATCTCCAAACACATAATCGAGTTGAAACGCTTTTATTTTTACATAGAGAGATTGTAGAATAGCTGGGTATAGTTTATTTTGGATACACTTATGTTTTTCTCTGCTTTATTTCATGTTCAAAGTATATTTTATTCGTTTTATGTTTTACACATCGTAAAACTGTTCATATTTGTAGCTTATATTTATTTTTAATTTGAAAGTTTTGCATACTTTTTTTTTTTTTTTTTTGAGAGAGAGAAATTCTGAATAAATGCATTGTGTAACTGAAAAATAACTAAATAATTCAATATTGACCAAAATAAGTGTGATAATGATTTTTTCCATAATCACCATACAGATCAGATATGTTTTGTTTTTGTCCAAGAGTCAAAAAACAAACAGGAAAACACTCATTTAATTATAAAGCTTCATTTGATTGAATCAATCTTCCTTCATCAATCCAGGCATTCACTTTTGTCCCTTCATTTAAAAATGCTCTGGTTCAGTATTTACAGGACCCGTGTAATTGTTTTTGATTATTTTGTTGTTCATCTTGTTATATTATGTGACTATATTTGAACTCTGTCTTAGATGGCGAAACATCTCAAGGGGCTTATCCTTCAAACAAATACATTTAAATCAAGCAGCCTTAAAAGAAAGAAAGAAAGAAAGAATTTTTGCATACAATCCCCCCCTCTTTAAATAAAAGTAAGAGAGCAGAGAAGTTGGCAGATTTGGGTGTGGGTGAAAACTGAAGATTTCTGAGCAGCCCAGCCTCGACAACATGATTACTCAGATATGTTTGAATCGATGGAAATACAACTGTGAGTACATTAACGGTGAGGAACACTGTTAAAACACGGTTAAAAGCTCATAAAAGTCGATTTGACATAATACACCCCCATTTTTAAATTTCTTGCACAGCCTTCTACACAGAGTTTACAGGTTTTCCAAAAAATCATCAGTCAGACAAATGTTATGCTCAAGGACACAACAGCAGAAAGAAATGGGGAGGGTGGGATTTGAACTACCAGCTCATTAAACAAATACATCCAGGTCAAAGTGTTTCAATAAAGGTGCACTGTGTAACTTCTAAGGTGTTTTTATAGCTCAAAAATACCTTAAAAACTTGAATTCTTACCATGTGAGGGCTTGCTTCTCCATAGATCTGAATATTAACCCGTCTCCATTGTGATTAACCAAAATATCGTGATATCAAATCGTCAAAAGTCTCTCAATAATATCATGGGCCATCACAACATATCGAATTACAAGTTTCTTTGCTTAAATTAAGAGATTTGGAGCAGCAATAGCTAAAAAAAAAAAAAAAACAGAGGGAACTACATAGACCATGATCCTTTGCTCCATTTTGGTGCAAATTACATGAAGAAATAACAGTTTCTAAGCACTTTTAAATCTTTGTTCTTTCATTTTAAGGCATTTTAAGAGGAAAAAGTAGAATATTCACAATTTTATCGTAAAAGTATCGTACCGTGAAATTTGGATATCGTTACATCCCTACAAAACAATAATATCTCCATGGAAATGAGTAGGTGACGGACCCTCCACTAGAAAAACTACACAGCACACCTTTAAAAATCGCCTTATAACATGATTAAAAGCTTCTTTAACCAAATATTTGAGTTTAAAATAAAGTTGAGGCCATTGTTTCTCTCGGCGCAGAGGGAGGTTGCTGAGGTCTTCTTCCTGCAGGTCCTCAGAGGGGCCGGACTGACTCCAGGTCTAAAGCAGATTTAACGAGTTGGACCTGATTAAAGCAGGGTTAATGGGAGAAACGGCACAGAGCAAAAGATTAATTAAAGCTGGAAAGATTAAAACACAACGTAAAATTATCTCTCAAACCGAGGCGGTGGTTTTGAATGGAGCTTTAAAGACGTTTTGACAGCGAACACAATGATGCTTCGAATTGGTGGATTCCAGTGGTTCTAGTCGTCCCGGATATGGAGACTAGAGACACATTTGCCTTTTGATACTTTGCGGTGAAATAATGCTGGGGGTGTTCTACATGTATCCCTAATGGCAGAATGTTTAGGAGGTGACACAATTAGGGTGACCACATTTTCACAATTCAAAACTGGGACACACCCGGGTTGGGATGGTTGATATAAATAAAATTGTGAAAAAAGTGCGTAACACTGTGTATTCTCCACTCAGTTTGGGCCATAAACTGAGGGACTTCTATTGGTGCATTTTTTCCCCCTCATGGTCATTTTCAACCTCGGTTTTCGGTATTTTCGCAAAAACAAGTGACAATTTATGCCTCTCATTACTGTTGGCGGGTATCAGATTGAACAAAAATAGGGACACCTGGGACATTTCTTGTATAAAACTGGGACAAATCAGTGGTTTTGGATAAATCTGATGGGACAGGGGACACACGGCTCAAAACTGGGTCTAGTCACCCTAGATCAGGCATGTCCAAACTATGACCCGGAGGCTAAATGAGGCCCTCAGATCAATTTTTGAGGCTCATGTTTACTCAACCCAAATGACCAAAGGTAGTTATTTTTACTGCTGATTAACTTAATTTTTTTTTTTTGACGTGGTACAGACTTAACTCAAGCCTTATTAAAGGTGTGCATGCTCAGACAAACCTACATCAAATGCAGCATTTTGAAAAATTCACTAGTCTGTGGGCTTAAGTTTCAATATGTGGCCCTCAGTGAAAAAAGTTTGGACACCCCCACCCTAGACACAACGCACACATCAGCAAAAACTGTCAAAAAAGTTTTAGGACTGCATGAAAAGTCAAGAAAAAACACAAAATGGATTTAAACAGCACATTTTCAGGAGCCTGTGATCAATACGAGTTTTCATAATCCTGTTTAGGTGTTTGATTTTCAACAAAACGGTGAGAGAGTCTAACTGAAAAACTGTTGGCTGATGTACTTCCAGCTAACTCAGGTCTTTCTGGTCAGATTCTCCTAAAATAAAGTATAGGTTAAAATCCAATAAAGCCTCAGACAGAGCAGTGCCTACAGTCAGCGTCACACCTCCAGAGAATGTTAATGATTTCAGCTGCAAAGTAACTTTGCCATGAAATATCCAAATGGTGAATTCACAAAAGTTGAACCTGCTCATTTATGGTAAGAACTCAATATTTCATGTACTAGTATTTTAACTATATTAATTTGAAAACCTATATTAAATATTATAGATCTGTCGAATGTTACAATGTCATCTGAAACAAATTATCCCAAATTAAAATAATAGTTAAAGGTGCAATGTGTAACTTTTCCTTTGGGGGATCCGCTGATATGACGATGTTGCGTTGTCTGGAGTTTCCATGGGTGATATTAAACTTCTCTAACATATATTTCTTTTATCATGGGAGTTTGTAGTTCTCAAACATACCTTTAAAACATGCACTCCTTTGTGAGCGAGGCCACTTCTCCACAGATATGACCTGTAAATTGGTCTAGCGGCATTTGTTTAACATCATACACTGAAATATTCAAGACAAAGCAATAAAATCTCTAAAAAAATAAAAGCAGGTGACAGGCCCTCCTCTGGAAAAGTTCCACAGTGGACCTTTAAAATAATAAAAGCTAGATAGTTAAATTATAAAGGGGTAGTTACAATTATAAACTCAGAAACTGTTGACTCAGACTGTCGCCATGGTAACAGCCAGGCTTCGTGTGATTGGTCCATTATGCACGAGAAAATGAGCAAAACATCAAACTTATTTTTTGTGTATTTGTAATTAAAGGTGCATTGTGTAACTTTTCCGTCAAAAACTTTTCTCTGTGGAGTGTTACAAGATTTCTATCTTCATGGAGACCAAACCAGACCAAGTTACAGGTCAGATCTGTGGAGAGGCGACCCCGCTCACAGTCAGAATGCCTGTTTTTGTATTTATTTTTGAGCTATAAAACCACCTGTAATTGAATAAATGTAAGTTAGAGCTGTTTAATGTCATACTGTGGAACATTCCAGGCAGACCAATGACATCTCCATAGAAACAAACAGGTGACGGACCCCCATCCAAAAAGTTACGTAGCACACCTTTAACAGAAATTTTAAAAAAGAGAGAAAAACAGATGAAGTTTGTGACAGATTTAATTTCAGTTCCAATAATTAGCGTCATAATCGTATTCATAAATAATAATAATAATCAGATGATTCTTCACACAGATACAGTCATGTGACCCGTCATGTGACAGCGTTATATACAAATCAACAGGCCTCAAATAAAACACTTTAAAAACAAACAGACAAACAGCAGGAAGAGCCGCCTGCAGCAAGTAGACAGAGCCCAGTCCATAGGGTTTGATACAGTCTCCAACACGTAGACTGTGACAATTTCATAAGGCTTTACAAGAGGCAGAGAAGAATGGATAAAACCAGACTTTATCAACAATTTAATATGAATAACGTAATAATTTAGTCTTTAGGTTTAGTTTTGTGTTTTGAAATTATTAGACTTTACCATTGTGTGAAATATAACAGCATTTTCCCTTGTGAATCCAGGTCTTAAAGGGCTCATATTATTACTATCATATTTTCTGATCTCTTATAAAGTCGTTTCTTCATCAAAAACATTCCTGGAGTTGCGTTTTGGGAGTTGAATTCTTCTCTCAAAGGGAAAACTCTGTTCCACCTTGTGATGTCATGTGTTAATACAGGAAGTGCTCCACTCCACACACCTTCAAAAGAATAATTTTAGAGAATTTCATCACCAGAATTGCCCATTTCTACTGAACAAAAGGTAAAAAGGAGCTGTTAATTTGAAAACTACCGCTATATGACATCACAAGGTGGAACAAAGCATTTTTTTTAGCTTTGGAGACGTAGGATACATTTACACTGAAATGAACCACCGTATCGGAAACAATTTACATCGTTTCTGTGTCCACAAGCCTGCCCTATCCACAGCTTTGAGCATATTTGTTTACATTTTACAGAACTGAGCGCTCAAAAAAACATCTCGCTCCTTGTGCGCTGATGCGGTTCAGCTTCTGTCGGTCTAAAAGACACGACTCAGTGGATTATGAGTGTTCTTTCTGTGACAGAGGGGTGTTCTGCTGATGGTGAGTCTGTTCTGTGCTTCTGTCGCGTTGGAGATGGTTCATGTTAAACTTTTCAGAGATTATGCACAGACCGTATATATGAATGGACATATATTCTAGCCTCTTAGCGTTTTGGCGGTGAATTACTTAGACCTACATTAGCGTATCAGTGTTTTCAGGCGTCCACACAGTGATGGATCAGATCTGTACTCATTTGTGGGAGCTGGCGGCACCAAATCGTTCTGTCACTGGAGCCGTTTTCCATCGAATTAGTACGGACGAACACTGTATCCGCAACAAAAACGTCTCAAATACGTACTAGGGTGGATGGGGCCATAGACAGACAAATAATAAAGAGTTACTCAAACATGTGTGAGTAAAACAAAACACAACTCCTGAGGTAACAACATTAAACGAGATTAAAAGTTCAAGTCAGTTTTGTGTAATATAGGACGTTTAAGCATTGCGAGATAGGGACAGTTTCTTGGTTTGTTCTTGTTAATAAATCCTGGTTTGGTCCACAGATTCCTTTATAAACCTCTTGAGTTTTTGCTGCAGTGAAACCGTTGGTGAAGCAGATTAAGACAAAAAGCAGCAGCGAAAAAATACAGACTTTTACCATAAACATTTGACAAAACACACACACACACATTTTGAATCAGTTCACACCAAATCATCGACAAAAAGTGTTTACAGCTGATATAAAAATATTAACGGTAAAACAGCTGGGGTGTGACGGACTGCGTGACTACCTGCAATCCATTTTCACATTTGTCAAACTTTGTCAAGGCTCGGATGGGTAGAATACTTTGTGTATTTAGTAGAAAAAAGATAAAATGTTCAAATTGAGATGGTTTGGACGTGTGGAAACGAGGAGTAGTGAATATTTGAGTAAAAGGCGGCAGAGGCCATGAAAGACGAGGCCCCCTAGAGGAAGACCAAAGAAGCACGTAGTGAAAAAGGACAAAGTAAGTAGGAGTGGCGTTTGGTGTGAACTGGTTTAAAACAGTACATTCAGATACAGGCTCCGTTCACACTTTAAAGTCGCACTGTGTAACTTTTCTGGAAGAGGGTCCAAAACCAGCTTGAGTCCATGTAGGATGATGTTTTTTTTTTTTTTTTCCCCAGGAATGTTCAACTGTATGGCATTTAACTTAACTATCTCCATGGAGACAAACAGGCCAGGTTCAGGGTTCCCACTCTTTTTCACTGACAATATTTCAAACCTAAAGTGACCTAAAGTGAATTTTCCATGACTTTACAGCACCTATATGTGTAGAATTGATCAGACTTTAGGGCTAAATATGAAATGTTAACTATTTTCACTCACCTTATGGTTTGGTATTATAGTTTTTTAACATTCAAAACACTGTCAGTGCATTTATTGTCGTCTCTTTTAAACAAAAGGCGCAGACGTTTGGAAATAATCATAATATCCTATTGATAACTTAACAGAATGCTGTAGTTGCGTGAAAGATACTAAAATTCCATGACTTTTCCAAAACGTTCATCGAATTTTTGAACTTCTATGACTTTTCCAGGCCTGAAAAATTAGATTTTCAATTTCCATGACTTTTCCAGGATTTACATTTCCATCATGGGAACCCTGCAAGTTACAGGTCAGATCTGTGGAGATGTGAGCCCACTCATGTTAATAATGTATGTTTTTGGGGTAGTTGAAAGATAAAAACACTTCTGATTGAATAAATACAAGATATATTTAATCTTTTCAATGCCGTACAGTGGAACACCCCAGGCAAAGCAATAACTTCACCATGGAGACGTGCAAATGGCAAACCCTCCACCACAAAGGTTGCGCAGTGCACCTTTTAATTGTTGTCATAGTGTTTTATAAAGAGCCAATGCCACAATCCACTACTATGGGAGTTGAGTGGTGCACAATGCAGACTCTCATAAACATTCGCTTTCATATTTGGGACTTTCTCTGACTGCCTCACCTGTACGTGCGTGTGTTTGGACAGAGGGAGGCAGAGGAATGGACCTAAGGAAAGACGGGGAGCACATGCAAACTCCACTCAGAGATCAGGAGTCTAACCCACAACCTCGAAACTAAGCGGCAGGAGACAGATTAAAGGTCATATATGATGCAAAATTGACTCTTGTGAGGTTTAAGTCATGTTATAATGTTGTTACCTCGCCAAAAACGGACCTGGAGTTGTGTTTTGTTACCATTCACACATGTTTGAGGTGGGGGCTACATCTCCAAAGCTCAAAATACTCAGTTCCACCTTGTGATGTCATGAAGCAGAAGTTTTAACAGCTTAAGTTCACAGCTATTTTTTACCTTTTGTTCAGCAGAGGTCTGAAATTATCCAAATGATTCTAGTGAAGGTGTATAAAGTTTAAAAACACAGTGGAGCATTTCCTGTATTACCACATGACATCACAAGGTGGAAAAGGTTTGAAAGAAGAACTCAGCCTAAATATGCAGGGTTTGAGTGTTAAACATGTAAATAAAACAAAACACAACTCCAGGTTTGTTTGTGATGAAGAAACATTATAACATAGATCAGAAAATAGTGTAATATGGGCTCTTTAATCACTCTGCAGCAGGAACGGAGGGAGGACTGAGGGGCAAGAGACAGGCTAACCACTCTGCCATTGTGCACCACATGTGAAACATGTTAGTGTAGAACTCACATATATTAATATTTTCTTATTTACATCTCTTTCTGTAACCTCTGGGAAAGTGTTGTGTGGACGGAGCCTGAGTTTAGTCCAAATAAAATCCAGTCCGTTCCAGTTTGTAAGAAAAAAAACATGGAAGGAAGAATCAGCTTCATCCTGAGGCGGAACTGGAGCCGTCTTTACTGACCCGGACCAGCTCCTGGGACAGAACCTCCAGATCCTAAAAGAGAGAAGGAATGTGTTAGATTTACACCAAACTCATCAGATCCCTCTAGACCTGAAATTCAACCTTAAAGGCACTCTATTACACAAAATTGACTATTGTGAGTTTTTACTTGTGTTAGAATCATAGACTGTATAAATAAATGGACATAGGCTCCTACTGAATCTGGCTCATATTGACTTACATTGGAATATTGTCACCCCTCTCTCTGTAACTGCTGCAGTAGGCCTCATAATTTTGGTCTTAAAACGTTCGTATTAACCCATTCTATGTGATTCTGTTTTTTTTTTTTTTTGTTTTTTTACGTTTTGCCTGTCAAAAAAATCCTATTCATAACATAGAGCCCATCTCCAAATTCTTTTTTATACAGTCTATGGTTACGATGTTGTTACCTCCTCCAAAAACAGACCTGGAGTTGTGTTTTGTTTCATTCACACATGTTTGAGTATTGTATTTTTCGCACTATTGGGCACGCTTCATAAGATTCCAACCCCATCAAAAAACAACTGTGTGCCCCACAATCCAGAGCGCCCTATACACGAATCCACTCGGGTGTCCCAGCACGACTTCAGTAAACTACAAAGCCGCACCACCCACAGCCCACGCAAACACGCATGGAGCAGACAGCGACCACGGCGCGAAAAACACCCACAGCCACACTCATCACTCCACGCGGACGAGGAGTGGAACGGAGGAACGAACCGAAAAAGCAAGTGCAATGTGCCACTTCTAGCCACAACTGAGTCACTGCGAATACGCCAACAATCCAGCGGTACCAGACAGCACCCTCCCTACGCGCCACAATTGAACAAAGCCGAGCGTCACCGTGAACGCGACAAAAAAAGTCCCACTGAGCCATCCAACTATTGTGTTTCGTTTAAAGTCCGGTGCGGTTTATATGTGAAAAAAGTTCGGAAAAAGACCATTCTATGACAGTGCGCCTTATAATCCAGAGCTCCTAATAGTGCGGAAAATATGGTAATCCTGGTTTATTAGTCTGTCTACATCTCCAAAAAAGCTCTGCTCCACCTTGCAATGTCATGAAGCGGGATTTTTCATGTTTTTATTTTATTTCAGTAAATATTGGCAATTCAGAATGATTTTAGTGAAGGTGTATGGAGTTTAAAAGCACAGTGGAGCACTTCCTGTATTACCACATGACATCACAAGGTGGAACAGAGCCTTTGTGTGTTAAACATGTGTGAATGAAACAAAACACAACTCCAGGTATGTTTGTGATGAGGAAACATTATAACAGAGATCAGAAAATAATAAAAGCGGGCCTTTAAATGGGCTGTACCTGATTTTTTTTTCATGGTCCGATATGGTAAAATAGTATATTTGTTATTTTGTAAAAGCAACCACAGTCTGCATCAAATTATAGAGTCTTTAATCCTCCGCAAACCAAGAAGTGAGTTGTTAAAAATTGCTAATTGTTATTAGTATTACCGTGATGGCAAAACTCCACTCTTGCCTCTGAAAATTGTGAAAAGTGCTTAAAAGGTATGAATAATTAGGATGCTTGAAATGAGCTAAAAACTGGGAAATAAAGTGAACTGAAATTAACTAAAACTAAATTTGCAATGGCTTTAAAGGCCCTTTGAACTAGTCTGAACCCAAACAAACTTGTGTAAACCGGTTGAGATCCTGCTCATACCTTCTGTAGATGCATGTTCTTGGTCAGCTGCTCCTCTAACATGTGCTGGAGCTTCTTGTTCATCTCTCGGAGGTTGTCGTCTCCAGGTTTGACCAGGTCTCTCAGCACGGAGCCCAGTTTGCCTCGGTCTGTGTGGGGCGCACTGTGAGCCCCGCCGACCCCCGCGCCGGACACGTCTGAGGAGCAAACGGCAAAAACGTAAACAGAAAATCAAGAAGAAAACATATAATGGTGCGGTGTTCAAAAGAGTCTGGAATGGCAGTGGTGCAGGGGATTAAGCGTCTGCCATAGAACTGGAGGGTTGCCAGTTCTTATCCCGTCTGAGCACATGTTGTGATGTGGCAACAAGACGTGATTCTGGCATAAAAATTCAGTCCTGGCATTTGAGTTTAGTCCTGGTTTAGTCCTGGTTTAGTAGTGGTTTAGTAGAGGTTTAGTCCTGGTTTAGTCCTGGTTTAGTCCTGGTTTAGACCTAGTTTAGTCCTGGTTTAGACCTAGTTTAGTCCTGGTTTGGACCTGGTTTAAAGCTAGTTTGATCAATTAAGGAGCATCTTTTCCAGTGAAGGATCTGCCACTTGTTTGTCTCCATGGAGATGTTATTGCTTGCCTTTTATGTTCCACAGTGCAGTTTTAATACTATATCTTACTTTTGTTCAATTACAAGTGTTTATGTAGCTAAAAAATGATGAATGGATGAATGGCGAGTAAAAAATTAAAGCTCCACTGTGTAACGTTTCCAGTATTTGCCTTAATTGACTAAATATTTCTTTGTCCAGAAGTTTCCACAGTGAAGCATTCAATGTATATCTTGAATTTAATGAATTATAGGTGACCTTATTGCAAATAAATACAAATTCTTAAAAAAAAATTGAGTATTCTTACTATGATTTGAGCTGTGACTTTGCCTCATCACATCAACTGCGTGTTTAATGCCATACTGTTGAACATTCTAGCAATAACATCTCCATGGTGACAAGAAGGTGGCAGACTCTCGTTCAAAAAACTAAAAATATTCTTAGTAATAATAATTTCTTTGGCACAAAATCCCTACTGAACAAATATTATAATCCAGCCCAATACTGTTGCCCGATCCTTTGTGGCTGAGAAGGACGAGTAAAAGTAAAAAAAATATCACAAATATTCAGAGTACAGTGGTCTTAGAGCCAGTGAATTTCCTTTAAAGACGGACCTTAAGCCGAGACAATATGGATCTGAGAGGCTTAGGAAAATTAGAATATTCCAGAGCGAGTTATAGAAATCATAAAGGTTTAAATCCTGGGCTTTTCTATGAGAGAGTGAGAGCATTAAAGTGAGAGAGAGAGGCACTATGATGGAAATGTAAAGATTTAACACGGAGCTGGGCCCATGACGCAGAGAGGCACAAGAAGAGAGAGGAAACCAGCGAATCGTGAAATTAAGAACAGACTAAGACACATATGCAGTGGACACATGTAACTTTTTACACACAGATAGGCTGGTTCAATTTCGGAGCAATGTCACAGTTAAAGTGTTGTGTGTTTTCTGTCGTGGACGTCAATGTGATGGTCAGTCGCATTAATATGTTAAGAAAAGTCATGTTTGGTGCAGTGAAGGCTCATTCTGCTAAAAATAAACTTAAGAGGTCACCCGTCACCTGCTTGTTTCTATGGAGATGTCAATGTCATACTGTGGAACATTCCAGGCAGAGCAATAAGGTCCTGTTTACACGAGAACACTTGTGGGTAAAAACGACAAAATATTTTATTGGGAGTGCCTTTTGTTTACACTGTGACTGCATTTTTGGGGCTTAAAATTGCAAACATCTGAAACCACCCTCCAGAGTAGAAAAGTTGAATACGCTCCGCTGTGGCGTTTCCGACTACACTGCCCAAGACGCAAAACTCTGGTCAGATCTGCTCACATCGCGTCCGTGTTTATGTTACATACATACAGCACACAGAGACAAACATGTGTACACTGTTGGGTAACCGTATGCACGCCGATTTCCTCCCGAAAACGCTTGTCTAAACGTAGAATAAAAAGTGAAGACGTGACGCCACTTTTGCATCTTCTGTTCAGAACCGTCATCATATAAACGTAGCCTAAACAGCTCTACCTTACATTTATTAAATTACAGGTGGTTTTATAGCTCAAAAGTATCTCAAAAATCAAGCATTCTGACTGTGAGTGGCGTCGCCTCTCCACCGATCTGACCTGTAACTTGGTCTGGTTTGGTCTCCATGGAGATACAAAGGATTAATACCATACTGTGAAACATTCCAGACGAAGCAATTACATCTCCATTGAGCATTTGATGGAGCTTCCACCAGAAAAGTAACACAATGCACCTTTAAAATAAAAGCAACATTGAAGGATGACATGTATCTGACAAAAACTGTTCAAGCTGCGTCTAAAAAGTCCAAAAATTACAAAGATTTGTTTGCAGCCAGATCCACCCATATCATAAGACTGGATCAGGAGTGTGGAGAGTATTTCAGTGTTGGAAAGAAAACTATATAATCTTAAACTGAAAAGATACAAATACGATGAGCGATGGGAAAAGTGGAATGTGTTCATAAATGACACCAGTAAAATAACATAGTACATTAAAGTGTCATTACCAAATGTAGGTTTAAATAAGAACCTGTTACTCCAGACTTTTGTTACATTGTTTTGATCAGGCTATCCCCAGGTTTGACTACCCCAGATTTAAGACTTTAAAACCTTTTTAAGACCACTTAAATGAAAATTAAAACCAACACTGCACCTATTATGCGGCCGAAAAACACCCGATCCAATTCTAATAATGACCAACCAAATACTATATCCAGAATCTAAGAGCCACTGTGGATTAAACCTGCACTTCCCCATGATCCATCCAACGTCTTCCTCCACTCTACTGATTGTTTACTCATTGCCGCCGGAGTCAGAAACCAAAGTATTGTTTGCGCAGACTCCAAATTAGACATTCATTCATGTTACCTGATTTCACGTTGTTGTTTTTTTCCCCTCTCTCCATTTAACATTGCACTACAGCCCGGTTGAGTAAACAAAAAATAGGCTAATGAAATTTAAGACCTTTGTGAAAAAAATGAGACTTGGACAACATAATTTAAGACATAATTTAGGAACATGCAATTTAAGACCTTTTTAAGACTTTTAAGATCCAGCGGCTACCCTGTTGATCTCTTTTGTTTTTTGTATGTTCTGAAATGGTTTTTTAAAAATCAATAAAACTAAGTTACAAAAAAAAAATTTAACAAAAGCAAGATTGGAGATGAATTAAAAGATTGTCTTGCTTCGGTGTGTTTATCAGTCCAACATTTCCAGAATAAAGTCCATAAAAACAGGTCGTTTACTTCAATTTTACAGATCTTCCTATGTTTTACAGATAATCCCGTTAGAATACGGCTAAAGTTTGTGGTTTTAACGTGACATTTTCTCAAGACTGGGGAGGTCATATTATCACATTTTTGTTTGGAACTTGTTTAACAGCCCAAATCAGGTCACCAGTGGTAGGTCCAGCTAAACGAGTTCTTTATAGAGATGTAACAATATCCAAATCTATCGGTACGATATTATCACGGTATGAATCTCATGGTATGATATTTATTAAGATATTTTGGAGAGGCTAATATAATTGTAGATAGGACACTTTTTTGCTTTTAAAATACCTTGAAAAGATTTTGGTGTGCATTATTACTGTCGTAATCCCAAGAACTCAAGTAAGAAACAAATCTCTTCTTGTTGTCTGCACTGAAATGAATCATGGGATATGTAGTTCTTACTATAAAACCATGCATTTAAGCAGAGGAACTTGTGATTCGATATATTGTGACAGCCCATGATATTACTGTTAGGCTTTTGACAATATCACGATATTTCGATTATTGTTACATCCCTAGTTCTTTATGATCAGATTGTGTTAAAACAAAGTTCAGATTAAGTCTTAACTCGAGTAACAGAGCTTCAGACAGAGCAAATCCTACAGTTAGCATCAAACTATCTGGGAATGTTGATGCCATCAGCTGCAAAGTGTCGATAAAACGAGTAAAATGTCACATATTGTCTCTTTAAGTTGCATTTTCCCCTTTACACGTTCCTTTGTAGATTTACGGTGACGTTTCTCATTACGCTGGTGCAGACAGCAGCCGGGCACAGCTCAGAGGATTCTGCTTGTCTCATGTTATATTTATCTCTGTGTTTCTGTCCTGTTTTTAATAATAGCTGTGGATTATTGCCTCCCACTCGCCTTCCTCTTCGGCTCGTTTTGAAATGAGCCTCTTCTGTCAGAGCGTAATCACAGCGAGGAACAGAGGATCACGTGGACCACATCGACTGTCTAATGTGACTCCATGTTTTCTAATGAGTAAATGTGTTTGTTCCCAGTCCAATGCTAACTGCCAGAAGTGAGACTGCCAATTTATGTCTATGGCCTCTCTGACTACCCCCACACAATAGATGAAATTACAGTTACAAGTGAGCTAGCTTTAGAGAACAGTTTGTCAGTAAGTCGCTCTCACCTTTTTGCTGAAACTCCTAAAGAAGACTGTGAACACTTATACTGATCACAGGGTCCTGAAAATGTGTGTGATCCTCAATTAACTTTATTGTTATAGACTGGCTCCACAAACTTGACATTATTTTTGTATGGCTTAAACCCTTTTACACCCTTAAACACTGAAGCTACTGTGAAAAAAATATAAAACAATTATTTTATATATTGGTTTTACAGGCCAAGATGTTGGTATTTGATAGATATTACCAATAAACCATTTCACCAAATCTGTAATATGAAAACTAAACAACAAATGACCTGAGATTATATATTTTATTTTCTTATTTTTCTATTTTATTTTGACTTGTACACATACATTTATATAATTATGCCTTATTTGACACCTGCCTCTTGCTATTTTTGCTGCTTATTTAGAGTTTATATTACCATTTACATTTTTTGCTCTTTGTTATTATATTATATTGTGATCTGTGAGCTACTGTGTAGAAATAATTTCCCTTGTGGATCAGTAAAGTTTGTTAAGGTCCGTTCAGTTAGTCCTGGTCTGGTCCTGGTCTGGTCCTTGTTCAGTCCTGGTTTAGTCCTGGTTCAGTCCTGGTTTTAGGCCTGGTCTGGTCCTGGTCTGGTCCTGGTCTGGTCCTGGTTCAGTCAGAGTGGTTCGGTCCTGGTTTTAGTTCTGGTCTAATCCTTGTGTAGTCCTGGTCTGGTCCTGGTCTAGTCCTGGTTCAGTCCTGGTTTAGTCCTGGTTCGGTCCTGCTTTTAGTCCTGGTCTAGTCCTGGTTTAGTCCTGGTTTAGTCCTGGTTTACTCCTTGTTTAGTCCTGGTTTAGTCCTGGTTTAGTCCTGGTTTAGTCCTGGTTTAGTCCTGGTTTAGTCCTGGTTTTAGTCCTGGTTTAGTCCTGGTTTAGTCCTGGTTTAGTCCTGGTTTAGTCCTGGTTTAGTCCTGGTTTAGTCCTGGTTTAGTCCAGTCCTGGTCCGGTCCTGGTTCGGTGCTGTTTTAGTCCTGGTCCGGTCCTGGTACGGTCCCGGTCCGGTCCTGGTCTTAGTCCTGGTCTTAGTCCTGGTCTCAGTCTGGTTTCAGTCTGGTCTTAGTCCTGGTCTTAGTCCTGGTCTTAGTCTGGTCCTGGTTAGTTTCACTCCTGGTCTTAGTCCTGGTTTCACTCCTGGTCTTAGTCCTGGTTTCACTCCTGGTCTTAGTCCTGGTCTTAGTCCTGGTCTTAGTCCTGGTTTCACTCCTGGTTTCACTCCTGGTTTCACTCCTGGTCTTAGTCCTGGTCTTAGTCCTGGTCTTAGTCCTGGTCTTAGTCCTGGTTTCAGTCCTGGTTTAGTCCTGGTCTTAGTCCTGGTCTTAGTCCTGGTCTTAGTCCTGGTTTCAGTCCTGGTTTCAGTCCTGGTCTTAGTCCTGGTCTTAGTCCTGGTCTTAGTCCTGGTCTTAGTCCTGGTCTTAGTCCTGGTCTTAGTCCTGACGATCAGTTTGGCGGTCTTCTGGATAATAACTTTGCTTTGTCTCTGGATAGTCGTCCCTGATTGATTGACTGGTTCAACGTGAAAAGTTCAACACTTTCAACTTCTGGCTCTGGAGCGTCAATGCCAGAAGCTGAAAATGCTAGAATGCTCAAGACGCGCCATGTTAACGCTGCGCTGACGCCTGAAGTCGCACCGCAAAAACGCAGGACGCCCTAGATGCGCCTTCACATGGACTTTGCATATAAACTGGACGCCTTGATGCTCTGGTCTGTCAAATATCACTATAGATTTCTGACTTGTCCTCCAGCTCAGTTTTAAATGATATGGACTCTAAAATGTTGTAATGTGACATGAACACAACCCTTTTTCCAATATAAATATATCCAATTTCAAAGGGAAAAAGTATTTTAAAATGAAAGACAAGACAAGATGCAAGATGATTAAATACTCAACAAATCGAAGAGTCTGACCTCTGCGACTGTCCATGACGTATGTCTCAATAATCGCACTCTTTTTACAGATGTCCTCAGCCATCGACGAGCAGCTCACTTCCAGATGTTTCACCTTAAAAAAAAAAAAAAAAACATAACATAACACATCTTTTATACTTGTTTATTGTTGTAAAGAGAGCTTGAGTGTCCAGAAAGGTGCATAATAAAGCTCATAATAAATCAAATGTTTTTCTTTTTCATTATCATCTCTCAAAACGTTTGCCCAACTCACTGTATTATTGGTGGTATTTACAAATGTGTTAAAAGTGGTACCTTCTCCTCGAGCATCCACTTCTCCTGCTGCACCTCGGCTAGTCTCTGAAACAGCTCTCCCACCTCGTCATCTGAAAGGTCGGCCGGACGCTGGGACTGAGGGCTGCCTCCTCCAGACTGAAACACATTTACACAAATACTAGTGTTGTTATTGCACATTTTTTTTTAACCGACACTCCCAGATGTCAGCACATCACCCCAGTCCTTTTCTCACTCCATTGGCTTCCAGTTTCTTTTAGAGTTGATTTAAAAATGTTACTGTTTGTTTTTAAAGCTCTTCGCGCCCTTGCTCCTCCCTATTTGGCTGAACTCCTGTCTGTCCACAGTTCAAACAGGGCATAAAGGTCAAACAACCAACTTCTCGACACTGGGGTGACTTCTCACTTTGGTCACCTTGAGTGTTGTAACGGGTCTATAAATAAAGTTTTATTGATTGATTACATATTAGACCAATTTTTTCATATATTATTATTTTTTATTCCAGATATGTCTCCTAACATCATGAATTGTCTTGAGTCGATTTCCATGCTGATCTTGGTTTTAGGTTAGGTTTAGGTTACAACAGAACTTGTCTCGTTCACGTGGAACTAAATAAAGTTTAAAAACAGCTTTTGACGAAGGTGCTCTGATCTATTCACAGAGCCTCTATCAATAGAACAACAAAAGACTGGAGTAAATTTAGACTGTTCTAAATATAAACGCCACACGTCCTGAAGGAGGCGAAAGTGTGAGACACGTGGACAAAAACTACAGCACTTTTCATTCCAAACAGAACTAATCGCTTCCATCAAATACTGAAAAGAATCAAGTCATCATCACAGAAAAACATTCAAAGATTTCCTTGATTGTCAGGTGGACTCCAGAATAGAAAGACGCTGCAATTTTGATTAATCCAGTAACTTTTGAGTTTACGCTGACAAGGAAAAATTAAGAACATGAAATAAAAAAAAATGTAATAAAAAGGTGCTAGTGGCTTTATAAGTTTGTAGACAATCCAAGCAAAACAGGTTGGGTTACCGGTATTTATTAGAAAAATTTTATGACCCAATAGCCTTCATAACTTAAAGAAAGTATTAAGTGTTGAAACTTACTAAACTTAGTATTTAGTTATTTGGGCATTTGAGTAGATTTTATTTGCTGAATGTAAAGTAAAACAGTTGTAAAAAAAAAAAAAAACTAATTAAGCAAAAATGTAATGAAATTATCATTCAATCAATATATGAAAGCTGAAACAACATATTTTTTGCAATAGTGAAGACATTTCTTTATATTGTAAAATTTGAGCTGCAGAGCGTAGAATAAATAACTTTTCGCTAATTATCGGTTCATTCTACTATTCATTTGTTGCAGCTCAGGCCTTTTAATGCTACTGTTTAAAAAAAGGTTTAGTGGGATTATTTTGCATTATTATTTTTCATTAGTTGCATAAAGTAGTTCCAGTATTATCGTTTATCGCAATATTTCTCTGTAGCGATGTATCGTACTTCAACATCTGTCCTCTGTTCTGTGAAAACACCATACCTTGCTCTGATTGGCCGGCTGCTCCTTCATCATGTCTTTGAAGGAGAAGGAGGACACAGAGGAGGAGTCTCCGGTTTGTTGGGTTCGACTGGGACTGTGGATCTCGGACAGGTTCAGCTCTTCCAAACCTGGAGAATTATACGCAAATATTCAATCTGTACACTACGAGCCTGAGCCTGACAGCCAGACTGGAGTACCATCTACATTCTAATATACACACGGTCTCAATCTGGTCACACCACTCCCTCCCTTCCTCTCAGGCAAAACTGTTTATTTCAGTGCCGCTGTTGATACTTTGCAACTGATGTCATTAACTTTCCCTGGGCGTGGGACACTAACTGAAACACTACTGTCAGAAGCTCTAATGGACTTTAATCTGAGTCTTATTTTAACACAGTCTGATGAGAAAGATCTGATTTAGCCAAAACTACAAAAGGTGAAATGATTTGTGCTCTTAACATGTCGCTCACTAGCCTGATTCATCAGCCTCACAGCATTAGGATTCGTTCGCTCGACGGTAAGTGGGTACTTTTTCATTTAACCAATCGCTGCTATTTGGTCGTGACGTATTTAATGCGCTGCTAACGGGGCTAACTGGTAGATTAAGCTTTTCCCAAATCCTGTAGGAAAAAAGGACAATAACGTTTTTCCCCTTGATAAAATTCACCAAACATTCTCTTTGTTCCAGCTTTAAATCCTCGGTCTCGGGAATCGTTGCCAACACAGAATGTATGGCTCTTCTCTGATTGGCTGGTGCCCAAACTCGCACTTCAGGGTTCGCAGTAGGTGGCGTCAGCCTGGCTAGTCTCTCACAACCAAGACTATAAACCCTAGTACTGACCACAGGCTCCGGAAAATCTGTTGTTTAAATCCATTTTGTATTTTTTCTTGAGATTTCAGACCATCTTAATACATTTTGTCAGTGTTTGCTAATGTGTACATTGTGTCTCCACGTTAACGGCCATAGAGATACGTGCAGAGGACCCCCAGCGTGACGTCTCTGCAAAGTATCAATGGAAACGAAGTTCATTGGTCATCTGAAATTCTCTCTCACTTTCTCAGTATAGACTAGGAGAGGACTGTCTGCCACAATCCTTTCTACAGTATATTCTGTATAGCCAACATTTAATTGTACTCTTTATTTCTTTATTAGAGCAGAGTAAATGTCGTACGTATCATAAAGTGAATTAAAACATTACCTGCTGTTCTGGTTTTGGTGAGGATGTCTTGTAGTCTCTCTTGGAGTTTGTCTGCTCGTTTCCTCTCCAGTTGCAGCTGTCTCTTCAGGTCCTTTAACTACAGACACATGATAAAGGTTTATTTAATAGTCTGCTCTTTTCTCTTATCACTGTAAAGTATAGGAGGAGTACAGTTTGACAATTACATCAGAGCACACTTCAGAGACTCTGCTGACACAAGGAATACTGCGCGCGTTCGTATAACACACTGCAGTGGTGCAGACGTCTTTGAGGACTTAACTGCTTGGATTTAAGTTACGTACTAATAGAAGATTCTAAAAATAAATGTGAATTTGGGGGCTTATATTATACTATATATACTCTGATCTATCTTATAATGTTGTGTCCTCATCAGAAACAATATATATGTTTTTTTTGTTTCATTCATCCATGTTTAACACACCAATCTTGCATATTTAGGCTGAGTTCTTCTCTTCTGCTCCATTGTGTTTTTAATCTCAGTACAATCATTTCGATGATTTTATTGAACTGACAATTGCTACTGAACAAAAGATAAAAGGTGGCTGTTAACATAAACACTACCAGAGCATTTTGGGCTTTAGGGATCTAGACAGACTAATAATAAACATGAAAACATGAAATGAATGAAAATACAAAAATATGTTTAGTGTAACAGAGGACCTTAAACAGTGGTTTGAGTCATTAATGTGGTCCATAGTAACTCACCGCAGCACTTCCCTTCTTCTCCAGAATCCTCTGTCCATCCACCGTGTCTTTGATTTCCTGAAAAAAACAAACAAAAAAAACATACAAAAAGATTTAGTGCGGTGTTTTGGTCTCACTATGGAGAAAGACTAATACAGTGAAGTATAATCTATCACCTGTCGGAGTTTGTCAATGGTCTGGTTGAGTTCGTCCCCTTGTTTCTCCTTTTCCAGAAGCTGCTGCTGCACCTGCTCCAGCTCTGACTGTTTCACCTAAAACACAAAGAAAGAAACAAATATCACATTTATTATAATTTAGAATGAATTTACATGAAATAAGGAAGAACTGGACATTTCTGCCAAAACATTAGAAGGATGTCTGGACTAGGAGCACATGTCAAACAGAGTGATTTTGATATACATTAAAAAAGGGATTAAAATCTTGATTGTTAGAAACTTCTGTCAAAAACAGGTCTAATCCAGGTCTAAACCAGGTGTATAACAGGATTCAGTTAGAACCAAACCTAATGAAAAAACAGTACTACAATAGATCTTAATCAGGCTTAAACAGGGATTAAAGCAGGTCTAAACAAGGGCTAAATTCTGGATTTATTAGCTCCATTTTCCTTGTGCAGTTTGTACATTGTTCTGCACGAGGCCCCTCTTCTCCTCTGTGTCTCTCTAATCTCTCTGTGTTAAATGATTATTAAATTAGCGCTGGTCTGTATTAATCCTTGAGCTGATTAATTATAGACTGTGGTGTTCCCCTTAGACTCAGATAAGCCCAGAACAGACACGACTGCACCACAACTCATCTATTCAAAACAATAGTTTGAACTGGCTTTTAATGGTTTGATTTTGTCCCCCAGAAAATGCTAAACTGCAACCACAAAAATAAATGTGATTGCCAACCTCTATAACTTCTTTTTTGTAATAAGCAGATATATTTCTTTTCATACAGATGGGCCATGTGTATAATCAGGAACAACTCTCAAAAAGTGGGCTGACTATTATCTGAATCAAAGTTTCACAACATTAAATCAAACTTTTGTTGCTGAGACAAAAGTACAGACATCTTCCCTGTTCACAAATCCACAAAGTGCTGACCTTCTGCTCATTTTTCACAAACAAAATAGTCTGTATTGATGCAAAAATAGGCTGAAGTTTGTCTGTTGGCGTTGCCATGTTTGTTTTGCCGCATTTGAGAGCTTCACCTTTGGCTTCCACACAAACCTCAATGCTGAGATGTGATAGGTCCACCCACTGCTCGAAGAATTTGAACCGTACAGCAAGTATCTCAAGAAGGATTCTCCTAAGTTTGTGAATTCGTAAATATCATGAGAATCCACCTTGCTGTGCAGTGTTATATGCATTTCACCGATTAGCTAATCCACCTGTCAATCACACCCTTCTGAATTTAGAGTGACCAGACTCACATCTTTGTAAAGTATTGGAGAAGTGTGTATTATGAATCTCAGGAATGTAACTTTACTCATTTAGGCAGTAAACCCTCAGGGTTACATAATGACTGAACAAAATGTCAAATAGAAATCCATAAAGAGGAAGGAAAAGTCTGCATAAATATGTCTTATTTGGATGGTTAAAAGGATTAATTGGGCATTGAGAGAGTCTGGTCTTGTGAGGAGCCTGCTCTGTCCTCTGTTTATTAAATGGACATAATCTTGTTCAGGAGGAAGTGAGTGTGAAAAGTTAATTAAACTCTGACTCTCATTAACGTCAGGTCACCAGTTTAACAAGGGTCTCTCTCCACAGTCGTCAGACACGCCCAAATGTTTTACACACTGTGGGTTGTAATTGCACACTTAAGACTCAGGTTTTGAGCTGGTTTAGTCCTGGTTCACGTTTTGGACATAGTTTGGGCTTCATGATCAAAAATCAATCTCTGTCAATCGCTATGGAAACTCACTCCCACATGTACCGCAACAATCATCTCCTCTACTTTTTATAGCTGTGGTGCCCGACTTTTTTCTCCCAATATGAATATTTTTTAACAGTGGATATGATGGCAACCTGAACAACCCCATTTTAATCTAATAAGGAAAAATAACATGGGTTTGCTGTCAATAAAATGTTAATGTGGAGCTTTAGGGACCCACAGTTTGGCCCTGATCCCTCAGTTGGGAATTGCTTCTTTAAAGAAATATCAAAATTAATCAGTTAATATTAAATGATGTTCTCGTGGTCACTGTGGGGGAGTTACCTGCATCTGCTCAGAGTGCTCCTTCTGCAGTTTCTCGACCTGCTCCTGATGCTCCAGAATCTTCTGTTCCAAGTTCTCCTGTGAAAAAAAGGAAACAATGGTGTAGAATGTTCACATTAAAACTATAAATATAGAAGGATTGAGTTGTTACTAAAAGAATCTGGTTTGCACTAAAACCACTAAATAAGGCATATACGATTCCTCTGGGACAGACTACACTTTCCATCACATCACTTCCCTTCATTTCTCCATTACACTCTGGTGGAGGTGAGCTACACTTCAGTATCAGATTGTTGATCTATCAAGATGATGATACTGCCGAGTTTCAGAGAGCTTCACAACATTATACTGATACTGTGTAGTGACAACTAAGTCAATTCATTTTGGTCAGGTTGTGTTAAAAAAAAACTCAGATTAAAGGGAATGTTGATGGCAGTAATAATAGGCCAATCACATTTAATACAGATGATGAGGTAGATAAAATTCATGTTGTTAAAATTCAGTGTTATCAGAGTCAAAGTTTGGGTATTTCTTACAACGTTATCAATCGGGAACAGAGTCTCTTGCGCCCTCATCTGGGAGCATGACATTATGACATTGTCGACTCTGAACCACTAAGTGTTTTATTTGTATTTTTGTTATACCTCTGCTTCCTTGAGTCTCCTCTCAAACCAGCCTTTGGTCCCCTCCATGGACTGGACCTGGTTCTGCAGCTCCTCCACCTTCAGCACCAGCCCCTCCAGTTCTTTGGTTTTAGCCTGGAGGACAGAGAAATATTTAATCCCAAAGATGGTACATAAAGGACAAAAATGGACAAATAAACTCCAAATATCCACAAAAGGAGTAATTTACAAATAAAATCTCCATGTTTTCAGTGGTCCTAGTACCTTCTCCTCCCTGAGTTGCTGCCGTATCTCCTCCTCAGACCTGTTCTTGTCTTCATGGAGTCCTCTGAGTTCTTTTTCATAACGAGCTCGTACCGCCAAAACCTGACAGACAAATATTACACCTCCTCATGAGTACATAAAAGTACCAAAACATATGACCATAACTTTAACAATTTCAACAGCTAAATATTCATTCATAAACACTGTAGTCCTGTATCTCACCTCCTTCTCATGCTGCAGTTTGAGGTCCGACAGCGCCTCCTTGTGGTCAGACTTCTCCTGGTTCAGCTGAATGGCCATGTCATCCAGCATCGATTTCCTTTTCTCGGCCGTCTGAATGTTCAAATAATCAATTCAAATTGTTTAAATAGAAAGGAAATTGAGTTAAACTAAACGCTCTGGTTTATGTTCTGGTTTTCGCTGTTGTACCTTTTTGGCCTCGTCGAGTTCCCGTAACAGCTTGTCCTTCTCATGTCCCTCGTCTGTGAGCTGCTCCAGAAGTTTCCTATTTGCAAAACTAGATTCCTACAGATAGAAAAGCATTCACTGTATTGAGTATATGTTATTAAATACTGAATACTCAAGTTGTTTTGGCCCATTTGTTTCATTGGACTTTTTTTATACCTGTAACTGTGACTGCAGGTCGTCTTTCTGAGCCAGCAAACTCTCATTCTCCACTCGTTTCTGCTGCAGCTCATTCGTCAGCGCCTCCTGCTGTTCACGGAGCAGGTTCATCTCCTGAGTTTTTGCTGTCTGGATCTGAATAAGGCAAAATACAAATACATTTAACCATTTTATATTGACTTTTCTAGCTTGTACATTATAGTAGTGGAGGTTTACACGCAGTCTACTGAAGACTTTGAAAAAAGCAGAACAAACAAGGCAAGGCAAGGAGAAGCTGGTACTTTCAGATTTAGTGTGTAGGAAATCTAAAAAGCTAAACTTCTCTGTGACTAAGATTATGTTTTATTATAAATGCGGGTTTGACAAGTTATGATTCACTCAAACTTCAATGTACCTGTTCAAGAGCGCACAGGTGACTCCTCAGTGCACAGTATTCCTGAAACAGTCACTACAGCTTAATAATACTTATATAATAATATTACGGTAATGCTATAAACACTGTGCTGTATAATTCACTGTATCATATTGTGAATTCCCACTGGAACAATATTGCAGTCACTTCACCTGATATTATCTTTGTCCATCTGCCATTAGCCATTTATCAGTTTCAGTTTTATAGCTTTATAGTTTTACAGTAATGAGTAAGGTAATTCAGCTCTACAGCGCACAGTTGCATCTGATTATTTTTTTCTTATCTTAACCCCATTATATTCTAGTAAATGGTTAGAAATCCAATTTTTAATATCACTTTCTGTATTCCTTTTGAATTAAAACTTGTATATTGTCCTGCATATTCGGTTTTACCTGTTCTAGTGCTGCCAGGTTGGTTCTCAGAGCATCGTTCTCCTGAAGCATGTGATCCACCTGCTCCTGACTCACTGCGCTCTGATTGGCCGCCTGGGCCACAGGTAACAAGAGAAACAGAGGGACCACAGAAACAGGGGAAAGAAGAAACACAGGACCAAAAGCAGACAAGAGAGAGAGAAAGAGGAGGAAGAGAAGGGCAGTTTAACAAAACACAGTAGAACACACCAAAGACATGAGTTGGAAGCAAGAATGGGTTGGCCAGAGGGATGCTGTGAGTACGGAGGATGTGTACGGTTTTGGTTACTGGTTGTGACACAGGTATTTTCATAAAAAGCATCCCTCTCAGCCAAGCCATTCTAACACGCAGCACAAAAGTAAGATTGTACATAGAGCAGAGAAATTGAAATCCTACTAAATGATGTTTGAACTGGAGCTGTGCAATTAATTGAATTATAATCTAATGAAAATCCAGTTATTTGAGCAGTTTTTTTTAGAGCAGAGTTCAGACTTATAAATAAATACATTTACCATTATTTTGTGTAAACAGCACGGATCGAAAGTCCCTCAGTTCATGAAATTAATAGTCAATATCAAAATTATGATTGATCAATGAGGGAAAAGCCCTCACTGAACCCAGATAAATGGATAAACAAGCATAACCTTTTATTTCAGTTGTGATTGATGTGTTTATAGTAAATATCTTCCGTTCTGCGGTGTATAATGTTGTGATGAGTCAGTTAGGGTTACCTGATCTCTGATTGGTGGTTACATACCTGATCTCTGAGCGTGTGCAGAGCGAGTTCGTGCTCCTTGTCTTTACTTTGGATCTGCTCTCTCAGCTCTGACACCAACTGGAGAAAACAAACAAAGTCAAGTTACAAAATAAGAACACAGAAGATGCTCAGTGGCTATAAGACGTTATGCAGATAAAATTACATCAGTATGTAGTATGAAGGTATATAGTGTGTCAGTAGTGAGTAATGACATTTTCTCCTGTAAGAGCTCAAAACACTTCTAAAATGTGAAAGGGCTGTTACACTAAAATAACAAATACAGAAGTCTACAACTCTGCTAAATATTTTGCTTGTATCTAAACTAAAACGAGAGACTCAAGTAAACAGTAGTAATCAGGAGCTAAACAAAAGGGACATTGCAGACTACACACACTTATCACGCACACAGACTTTGGAATCGGACGCAGTTAAACTGAACTTTTCTCTTTCTGAGTCCGTGTGTTGAGGAAATAATTATTGTCACAATCAACAAAAATATGGCGATAAAAAGCAAAGAAACACATTTTGTCTGTTGTGCTGCCCATATTTCTGAGACTGTTGAGTGTTGCATGTTGAGGGGTATTTTTCAACTTCAGATCATTAATTCAAAAGTACAGCTACAAAACCGGAAAAAGGACTAAATATATAAAAATGCTTTAAAAATTTGTAACTTTTCTGGGCCTGCCATCAGCTTTTCTCCATGTAGATGTTATTGCTTTGTCTGAAATATTTCACAGTATGGTGTTTAAAATTTCTATCTTCATGGAGACCAAATCAGACCAGGTCAGATCTGTGGAGAGACAACCCCGCTCACCATCATAAAGCCTGTTTGTGCAAGTATTTAAAAGCAATAAACACACCTGTAATTGATTATAAGGCAGATCTGTTTAAAGTCATATGACCGGAATTATTTTTAAGAAGAATAAACATTTACATGATCAAGGAATAAATTAATTCGCCTTTAAAATCTGAAAAAAAAACATCCACTTAATTTGGAATTAAGTTTAAGTCTGTATAATCATTTTCATTAGGAATTACCAGTAAGTCTTTATATGGTCTTTTTAAACCTCAATTAATTTCTACTCAGAATTAAATCATTTTTATTCTGATTTAAAGCTCTCATGCAAACATCGCAATTGCGGAACACTGGAAGCAGAGCAATGACATACCCTTAGAAACAAGAAGGTGGAAGGTGACTAACTCCTAACCGAAAAGCTACATAGTGCACTGTCTCAAAGGACCTGACAGCAAAAATAACAGACAACGCAGCTTTTTGTCCTACTGCTCTGGAACACGTGTAATTTAAGTTCAATAACAAACATTAGCGCATCTGTGTCAATCAGGCTACTGAAAGCCCGTGAAATAAGCTGACGAAACACATAAGAGTTTTTCAGGCGTACAGGGCGATGCTAACACTTATAATCAAGAAGTCCATCTGGTGCCGGTCTCTTGTTGATCTCACCTGATTGGCTGAGAGGAGGTCAGTCTGTATCTTATGTAACCTGGAGTTTAGAGCTTTGAGTTCTTCTTCTTTCCTCTGATTTATCTCATCAATCTTTGTCCTGAAAAATATATTATATTTAAACAAGAAGAAAACAGAAACATAAAACTCTTTAACTTAAATAAAAAGACTTAAAGCTTTTCATATGAGTCAAATTTGCCTAGGAAATGAAAGTGTAAATGTGTTTCTAACCTGCTGTCATTGTACAGAGCCTCCTTCTCTCCTTGCAAACGCTGGAAACTGCATAAAGCATATTAATCAAATATTTTTCTTCCCCAAAATTTAACAAACAAATGACAGCACATGGTTCATTACGGTTTGATCAGTTCAGCCGGTTATAATGAAAATATAAAATGTGTATTACCTCTCCTGTTTCTTTTTTAGTTTATCTGTAAGCTATAAAAAAAAGGTTTCAATATTATTAAAAAAGGTTTCAAGGTCAGTCAAACCATAACATGAACTCATTTACCTTCGCGACTTCCTCTTGTAGTTTTGAGGTTTCTGTATGTTTGGACGACTGTGGAGCAAGCATGATACAAAACAGAAAAGAAAACCATATTATTACTAAAATATATATAATCACATGTATTCTTTAAATGATAAATTTATGAAAGTGTTACCTCAACAGATTTGAGCTGTTCCCTGAGCAGCCTCTGAGCCTCTTTTTCTGTGTTTAGGGACAGCTCCAGCTCTGGAACAGGACATTTGATTAGCTACAGTTACTACTATATTACCCTGTATTTATATTTGCCTCCAAGCTACCTCATATAAACTACGGTATATTTCAAATAAAGGCATACAGATAAAACACAATTTAAAAACCTACCACTAAGCCGTTTGTCAGTCTGTTCAGAATGATCTGAAGTCTGAAAAATAAAACATACATTACTTAGCAACAGGGTTTTTTCTGTTTCTAAATTAAATTAGATAAACAAGACATTACACAAAGATATACACTAAAGAAACTAAAAGTACAAAGTATACAAATTATATACGTAAAAAAAAATAACGCAAAGAAATAAAATAGCAATAAAATAGACCTGACGGGGGAGAGAGAGGTAACAGGTTTGATTCTTTCTTCTAACCTGTTCTCTTTTGCGATCTCACCTGTTCTTGTCTGTGATTAGCTGTTGGCTCTTTCTCTTTAGTGACATCACTGACTCCATTAGTGTTTGAGGTCTCTCCGTCTCCTGCAGTGCGTCCCTGGTCTCTGTCAAGCTGCTCCTGTAGAGCTACAGGGATATCACAGAATGAGTTCAAATGTTAATAGCTTTCAAAAAATATAATTATCATTAAAAAAAACAATACTATGCACTAATACGCACAGCTAAATAGGTTTTAAATTAATGGATTAATTTGGATTAGTTCACCTTTGATTTTCTTGTGCAGGGAGGTATTCTCAGCCTGTAGCTGTAAAAGCTCATCATTGACTGTAGGTGGTGCTGTAGAGGAAGCAGAACTTGATGCTGTAGTTTCTCCCCCTTCTTTGAGAGCTTTGTTTTCTTGCTCTAGCTGCTCAATCTGTGTACACAGCTGCAACGATGAAAAAAAGATACATAAGAAAACCAATACAATATGCACTTCAGTTTGAGACACGCTTATGCCAGGAAAAGTGTGGTCAACTTTTCATCATTCAATTTTCAGTCAGGACAATTACAGGTCTTAAATTAGTCAAATTGGACAAACACAAATTAAGTTGTTAGTAGTGCAGAGTAGAGATGTACTGTACAGCACCTTGGACAGTTCTGTCATCAGAGTGGAGTTCTGGAGTCTGAAGTCCTCCTCCTGACTGTGGAGTTTGGATTGGAGCATCTCATTCTCCCCCAAAAGAGCCTCTACTTCCTACAATATCATACACACAAAAATGATCAGTTTTATAACACAGAAGAACTTCATCCTCTACACATGATCATAATAATCTAAAATGAATTTTAAATCTATTAAAAGTCAGTGTGTTTGCAATCTTGTGGGTCACGCTCATGTCTCACCTGAGCCTTTTTACTTTTGGTCACCGCCTGGAACAGATAATTTGAAGAAAATGTCAGAAGAACAAAATATTACAAATTATAATATTATGTGTAACTGTTATTTTCATTACCTTCTGAGCTTTAACAAAGTCTTTCTCCAGAACCACATTTTTCTGGCGGAGACTATTCAGCTCTGAAACAACAAACAATTTAGCTTATTATTTTAACTACCCAAATACTAGTCATCGGATGCAAATGTGAAAACACCAAAACAGCCTCATTCAGTTCAAATGCTCAACAATAAAAGGTTTAATTTACAATGTATCGTAACAGAGTAATGGTGGTATAATCTGCACACACACTCGGAAGATTTAAAATTATGTTGGAAGGTGGACTACATATTTAAAAATGTGTAATATTGTGGTTGTTGTTTTGGAGACCTGTAAAATTGCCTTTATCAGTTATATTATTCATTTAAAACAGGGTTGCAGTGTATTCTTTCAAAATGATGACTAATTTTTAGCACAATATTTGAACTTTAACCAAGACATTTACAGGAACACTCCTCCAGTTGATACAGAATTGGTAGTTGCAAAATCCAAAGTGGCATATTTTCTTAAACTATCCCAGCTAATGATGATATTCAAATTACACTTTGGTAAGCCATCACAAATGTAATAAGAAGTGTTACCTGCAGAGTTTTTCCTTAGTTCATCTGAGAGCTGATAATTCTGAGTCCTCAGTTCCAGCAGCTGTGCCTTGGAGAGAAAAGGGCAGTGTAAAATATTAATGAATAAACGGGTAAATACAGGAAGTCAGAGCTAAACACTGAGGTGAGCTGAAAAATGCAAAACATGCTTTATGGCTCGGCAGCCGTCATAATTAAAGTTTAATTAAAGGTGCAGTGTCTGTCAAATGCTTTTCTCCATGGAGATATTATTGTTTCGTTTGGAATGTTTCACAGTATGGCATTAAACCTTTATATCATCATGGAGACCAAACCAGACCCAGTCACAGGTCAGATCTGTGGAGGTGAAGGCCCCTCAACCAAAAAGATTGACTAAACCACAAATGTTCATCCCTGTGTTGATGAACATCTAATTCACTGTCTAATCAATTTCAAGTGTGATATTTAGTAAATCTCAAACTCATGTCCAGCTCCTACTTTCAGCTGAGTTAAAAATCATAACACATTGTAGGAAAAATGCCCAGAAACTTAAAATTAAATAATGAATATAATTTGAAGTTTTGACAGAGTGAGCTTTTGGTTTACATAAACTAAGCCACTATGCACTTCCATTACACTGGAAAATTACTGTTTAAACACACAGACTTCTTATCTGTCACTTGGTTGGGTAATGCAAATTAAAATTTGATTTAAGATTATACAATTTGTAGTAAGACCAAAGGGCACGTTTGCTACTATGTTACTATAAAGAAACTATAAACACAATAGAAATAAGAGGAACAGTATCAAAATGTTTAACTGAGAAATGTTGGTTTATTATAAAAAAAGCTATAACCCAAAACCTGGTACCACTAAAAGTCATATATTATGCAAAATTTACCCTTGTGAGCTTTAGCCTCACTGACAAAAACATAACTGGAGTTATGCTTTGTTTCATTCACTCAAGTCTGAGCAAATTTGCTTTTTTTCCCACTTCTCCATTTGTTACTTTCGTTGTAACTGAAGTACTGTGATATGGTGTCCTCAAATGTACCACAGTAATATAAAGTACAACACAGTAAAATGGAAGAAACTACAGAGAACATGATCCTTCCATTTCAGCGCAGACTACACGATAAAATAACTGCACTTATCAATCTGAATTCTTTCAATTCTAACCGCAATGATTCACACCAAGACATTTATAAAGGAAAAAGTAGCATTCCTACAACTCTTACTCTATACATACTCATATAATAGTACCATGACTTTTTAAGTACAGTTTAGTTTAAAAGTCATATAAATTGTAAAAATTTAAGATATATATGGTATTTTTGTTTAAAGACTTGAAATGACTTGAAGCTCAAAGCAGACGACTTGGACTTGACTTGGACTTATGGGACAATGACTCAAGACTCGTCTTGGACTTGCCCGTCTTTGACTTCGGACTTCAGGTCAAAGACTTGAGACGTACTTGAGACTTGCAAAACAACAAGTTGATCCCATCTCTGCCACTTTGTGATGTCAGCTAGTGGTAGTTTTTAGGTTAACAGCTCCTATTATCTTTAGTTCAGTAGAGATTGGCAATTCCAGGTCTGAAATCATCTAAATCAGGGGTCTCTAACCTGTAGCTCAGGAGCTATCAGTAGCTCTCCACCCTCTTCCAAACAGCTTGCCAAGGGATTTCTGAATTATACATATTGTGCTGAATAACTCAGTTTGATGAATTAAATGCTTATTACCATTATAAATGTATAATTCTGATGCCTAACGTGCATTAATAACTGGGTAAAGGTTTATGTGTTATAGACATCTAGCTGTACCTCATCTAAAGCTTGTTGCGGCTGTTATAAACACTCAATTTCTTGTGCCTGCTAACATCAGTAGCTCTCCGGCATTTTCATTCATTTTGAAAAGGTAGCTCACGAGAGAAAAAAGGTTGGAGACTCCTGATCTAAATGATTCTAGTGAAGGTGTATGGAGATTAAAAACACAGTGGAGCACTTCCTGTATTGCCACGTGACATCACAAGGTGGAACAGAGTGTTTAAGAGAAGAAAACATGCAGGGTTTGTGTGTTTAACATGCATGAATGAAACAAAACACAACTCCAGGTCTGACTGTGATGAGGAAACAACATGATAACATGGTGTAGATCAGACAAAAAACATAATATAGCACCTTTAAATGCTAAATCGTGGTTTATTGTTAAGTAAAACCCAAACCCTGGCAACATTAAGAGTATGAGCCAGAACCGGACGCTGTAATTAGCTGAAGTCAATGGAAAATATGATGGTTTAATGACAGTATGCAAATAGCAGCTAGCAGCGCGTTAGCACCCAGATCACAAGACTTATCAATCATTGCAAGATAAACATGTCAATCTGAATTTCACGTTATTCACGAGGCCATAAAAGACGCGGTTGATGCTGTAATGGAGCAGAGCAGCAAACCCCGTGACTCTCATCTGGGCAGAACCTAGAGCTAGTGCTAGCCCTGGGGACATACAAAATACGGGTTAGCACCGGACTGCTAAAGGAAGAGGGCGGCGTTTATAACCATTTATTTCACTGAATTAGAAAGCAAAACAGTAAAACAATAAATTAACAGCGTGTCCATGAATGATTTATGTGTTAAAACCCTTAAATGAGTGATAGGATTTTAAGTTAAATAATCCGAGAGGTTTGAAATGAGCCAATCCCTGTAGCGGTTAACACTGAAGGGTTAGCACGGAGCTAACGAGCGTCGCATCTGATTTCCCCCCCTGACAACAGTGTCTATAAAAGTGACAGTGACATGAGCGGTGCGTCCAGGTACAGGGGTCTCAGGTGAGTGTGTTACCTGCATCCGGTGGAACTCCTCCTCGGATAAAGCCTGCGACAGAGCCATGTTTGTGTGCGGAGCCGGAGCTAGCTCGCAGGCTAAAGCTAGCAGCAGCAGCGGAGACGGAGCGCAGAGAGCAGAGCGCGCAGAGGTCTCACTCCGAGCGAGAGGCAGGGACCGAGGGAGGAACACTGATTAAACATTGAAGATGCAAGGTGTAAGGTTTCTAAACAGCGAGGGTATGTCACTTTCAAGAGATAACAAACCCAAACTCATTTTAGGTACAAACATGACTAAATTAAATACTGTTAATGGTGGCCTTAAAGTTTTCAACATTAAAAACTGGGACACACTCGATTTGTTGGGATGGTTGGTATACAGTAAATAAAATTGTGAAAAAGCACAGTGTTCAGTATTTTTGGCTAAACAAATGCAATTTATGCTCCTCTGGTTTAGACCTGATTTAGACCTGATATAGTCCTAGTTTAGACCTGGTTTAGACCTGACATAGTTCTAGTTTATATCTGGTTTAGACTTGATTTACAGTTCTATTTTAGCCCTAGTTTAGTCCTGGTTTAGTCCTGGTTTAGTGCTGGTTTAGTTCTGGTTTAGACCTGCTTTTGTCCTAATATAGTCCCAGTTAGTCCTGATTTAATCCTGGTTTAGACCTGGATTAGACATGATATAGTCCTGATATAGTCCTAGTCCTGATTTAGTCCTAGTTTAGACCTAGTTTAGACCTGATATAGACTTGATATAGTCTTGATATAGCCCTAGTTTAATCCTGGTTTAGACTTGATATACAGTAGACCTAATATAGTCTTAGTTTAGACCTGATCTAGACTTAATATAGTCCTGATATAGCCCTAGTTTAGTCCTGGTTTAGACCTGATATAGTCCTAGTTTAGTCCTGATTTAATGCTAGTTTAGACCTAGTTTAGACCTGATATAGACTTAATATAGTCCTGATATAGTCCTAGTTTAGTCCTGGTTTAGACCTGGTATAGATCTAATATAGTCCTGCTTTAGACCTGATGCAGACCTGATATAGTCCTAGTTTAGACCTGATCTAGACTTAATATAGTCCTGATATAGCCCTAGTTTAGTCCTGGTTTAGACCTGATATAGTCCTAGTTTAGACCTGGTTTCGACCTCAAATAGACCTGATATTGTCCTGGTTTAGATCAGATTGGTCCATAATAGGGACACTTTGGACATTTCTTGTGTAAAACTGGGCTAAATCATTGGTTTTATATAACATTTGTTGGGACTGGGGACACAGGGCTCAAAAATGGAATTGTCTCGGGTAAATAGGAACGTCTGCTCACCCTACCTTAAAGGTGCATTGTGTAACTTTTCTGGTGGAGGTCCAGAAAATGCTTTTCTCTGCAGAGAAATGTATTGGAATGTTTCAGAGTATGGTATTAACTTTAGGGTGACCAGACATCTCTATTTACCCGGGACAGTCCCAGTTTTGAGCTGTGTGTTCTCTGTCCCATCAGATTTACACAAAGCCAGAGATTTGTCCCAGTTTTATATAAAAAAAAATGTACCAAGTGTCCCTATTTTTGACCAATCTGATCCCTGCTAACAATAAAGAGATGCATAAACTGTCATGTGCAGAAAAAAACTGCTTACAAATGAGCAAAACACAAAGAAAATGTGACTATACTGACTCACATTAGTGCCGAGTGTTTAACAATTTTCCTTAATTATGCACTTGTTTCACAGTTTTATTATTACCAACCAACACAAACCAGGAATGTCCCACTTTTTTATTTTGAAAATCTGGTCACCCTATATTAATTGTGGCCTTAAAGGAGCATTGCGTAACTTTTCTGGTTTAGGGTCCATCAAAAGCTTTTATCTTTACAGATGTTATTATACTTTGTCTGGAATGTTTCACAATATCGTATTAACTTAAGTCTTTCATTCTTTCTTCATGGAGACCAAACCAGACCAAGTTACAGGTCAGATCTGTGGAGAGGCGACCCTGCTCATAGTCAGAATGTCTGTTTTTCTAGGTATTTTTGAGCTGTAAAGAGCTGTAGTTGAGTAAATGTAGGTAGAGCTGATAAATGTCATACTGTGGAACATTTCAAGCACAGCAAAAACATCTCTATAGAAACAAACAGGTGACGGACCCCCAACCAAAAGTTATATAATGCAGCTTTAAATAAATAATATAGGTAACAAGTAAGTACAAATAATCAGATATTAACATTAACATAGATCAGGAATTAGCCTAATTTTAAGTAAAATGTCCTCTATTTCTTCTTCTATTTATTTATTTAAATGTTATTTGTTAACATTTTATTAAACCTTTGAAACAACTGGGAAACCTACCAGGACTGAACCACACCTGCAGGTCAACATAGTTTTATCTGGAATGAGTGAACAAAACAAATAAATATGTATTTAAGTCCATTCTCTATTTGATTTATACGAAAGTTCTGACGAGCAGAGTATCTTAAGTTTGCAGGTTAAAAGTCTCCTGTTTCCTCATGAGCTCTTCTGTGAGTGGACAGTTACTTCCTGATGAGAGTGAATTATTAACAGAACTGAAGCTGCATCTCACCGGCTTCAACAGACTGGAGCTTTCACTTCTACTACCACTTCTGGATCTGTCCTGTCGAGATATCTGGAAACATCTCTATAGGGTTAGGGTGGATCTATGCAACAGATTGGACATCGAAACAAATACTATTACTACAACTACTGCTTCTGAAAATAATACTACTGCTGCGTGTAATCATGTGGACACTGTAACTGAAGACAACTCTATGAAGTTGGTTTGTGGATAGCCTAACTGGAGACTACGACACGGGTATGTAAAAATAAAAAGTTGTATTTTATAGATTGATTGAGACATATATGATGTTATATGATGTTACAGGGGGAAGTCACACATGTCATGTCACCTACAGTATGTGTTGCAAGACTTAACACCACTAAAGACAAAGAGCACTGTAACACTAAAGAAATAAGAAATACTTCAAACCTTTTGCATGAAGTTAAAATTGAGTTGCTCCTTCACAGGATTTATTGGCACAGAAATGAGCTACATCACATTTGAATAGACTTTATAGTATATAAGTATATTTTAAGTATAAGTATCCTGAGCATGCATACATGTTACATTTGTAATTATCAACTTGCTCCTCTTAGTAATATTCAAATTTAGTATTTCTATGAAATGAGATGCAGTGAGACCATATGCAAATAAATATTTTCATATAGATATTTTGATAGACGTGAAATACTGTGTAAGGCTGAAAGTGCGACTATACATATTTGTGTCAGATCAGGGGTCGGCAATAATTCTTTTATGGGACCACATAAGAAACAGAAAATATTCTTCATAATGTTAATTGTATTTCTTTATAAAAAGCGGTAAATAGCATTGTTTTGATGAGCTGGTGAGATTGGTAAGAGTAAATGTTATGACTAAGCAATGAAAAAGTGAGTTGCCTTACAAAAAAACCCTCTAAAATTAAAACAATGCAGCTTTAGTCGATGCATGAGGTAAAATGATAAAATATGTTTATTTTGTAATTTCAAATGAGCTTAAACGGGCCAGTCAGAGTCAACCAAAGTGCTGTATGTGGCTCTGGAGCTGGACAATGCCCAGATCTGTGTTAGATAGGTAGATAAATACAGTCATTGACAAAAGTCTTGTCGCTTATCCATTTTGTAGAAACAAAAGCTTATAACCTGACTTTAAATTAATCGATTGGTTTTAGAAATGTCTCATATGAAAGCTAAAACCCTCCCAAATTATGCTCAATATACTAAAATAAATTTGCTTCACTGAAGAAAGATTGATAATTTAATGAACACAGAAATGTCAGATTTTGGCAAGACAAAAGTTTTGTCACCTACAGAAAATTTAACAAATAAGTTACTTCAAATACAAAAATATGTTGCATAACGTCAGTGAATTAAGTAGTGGTGCTGTGAGATCCATATTTAATATCTTGTATGACTTCCATGAGCTTGAAGGACTGCATCCATGCGGTTCGACAATGATTCATACAATTTGTTCATGAAGTCATCAGGAATAGCAAAGAAAGCGTCTTACATGCCTCCCAGAGTTCATCAAGATTCTTTGGTTTTGCCTTTCATGCTTCCTCTTTCATTCTACCCCAGACATGCTCAATGATGTTCATGTCTGGTGACTGGGCTGGCCAGTCCTGGAGCACCTTGATCTTCTTCGCCTTGAGAAACTTTGATGTAAAGATAGAAGTATGCGATGGAGCACCATCCTGCTGCAAAATTAGACCCCTTTTATGGTTGGGAATGTAAGCGGTAGCTAATACTTCTTGATATTTTAGGCTATTGATATTGCCTTTCACCTTGCAAATGTCTCGCACACCCCCATACTGGATGTAACCCCAGACCATGATTTTTCCGCCACCAAACTTAACTGTTTTCTGGGTGAATCTTGGATCCATGCGGGCTCCAATAGGTCTCCTGCAATATTTGGGGTGGCTGTGATGTAATTCAACTGAGGATTCATCTGAGAAATCCACCTTCTGCCACTTTTCCAGTGTCCATCCTTTTAGCAGGCTGTGGGACTTGGCAAGTGCCACACGATTTTTTAATTACCTTTTGTTTAGTGCTGGTTTCTGTGCACTGATTCGACCATCGAGGCCATTTCGAGACAGAATTCTACAAACTGTTGTGGTTGACACAGGGATTTGAGGTGACCAGGCCTGGAGTCTGCTGCAGTGGAAAAGGGGCTGGCCTTGGATTTTCAAATCAACAAACGGTCCTCCCGAGCAGTTGTCTTGCGGGTCTGCCAGACCTGGGCTTGTCAAAAACATCTCCAGTCATTTCAGATCTTTTTCTTATTCTTTGTACTTGACGCTGAGACACATTGAAGGTGTCAGCCACCTCAGCAGTGGATCTGGTCTTCAGCCTCTTGATAATTAACACTTTGGTCTCAGGGTGGATCTTAGGCATGTTGTCAGAGGTCAAGTTGCAGTTGATGTGAAGGTCTGGTGTGCTGGGGTTCTTTTTATACACAAACACTAATTGATTGATCAGTAACTGATCACAGGTGAGGCTGTAATCTAGGATTGGGTGCATCATATGACAAGGCAACAAGACTTTTGTCTTGCCAAAATCTGACCTTTCTGTGTTCATTAAATTATCAATCTTTCTTCAGTGAAGCAAATTTATTTTAGTATATTGAGCATAATTTGGGAGGGTTTTAGCTTTCATATGAGACATTTCTAAAACCAATCGATTAATTTAAAGTCAGGTTATAAGCTTTTGTTTCTACAAAATGGATAAGCGACAAGACTTTTGTCAATGACTGTACATAGATAAATAGATACAGATTGTTGTGATTGTTTGTGATCTCGTGTCCTGAATATTCCAGGTGAATGTTTTGAACCATGTCGAACCTGGAGCTGCTCTCGTCCATGATTCAGTCTTTGGACAACGTGGACCAGCACACCATAGAGCAGGAGTTTAATGTGAGTACTAAATACTTATGTTTGTGTTTATTTATTATATATGGGACAGTTTAAAAAGCCCAATATTCTGACCTACTTTATAATGTGGTTTCCTCATCACAGACATAGTTATGTTTAGTTTAATTCACGTTGGCAGGTTGATGGCAAGACAAAAAATGGCATACGATATTCACAAAAATTCAGTCCATACACTTGACATGGACGTTAAAGATCAGTGAATACAAAACGCAGTAGTATATGTAAAATTAGAAAATGATACTACTGCTACAAACAGACCTACTGCTTACTGTTGCTACTGCTACTAGGGATGGGAAAATAAATAATAATAATATTGTGATTAAAAGGGTAGAAAATAATCATTTGTGGGACATTTTACAGAATCGTGATGAATACCAACAAAGACACCAGAATGTGCAGTTTTTTAACAGTTGTTTAAAGGTGCAATGTGTAACTTTTCTGGTGGAGGGTCCATCAAATGCTTTTTTTCCATGAAGATGTTATTGCTTTGTCTGGAAAGTTTTACAGTATGGAGACCAAACCAGATCAAGTTACAGATCAGCTCTGTGGAGAGGCAACCATGCTCACAGTCAGAATACCTCTAGATATTTTTCCAGGTATTTTTGAGCAATAAAAGCATCTGTAATTGAATAAATGTAAGGTAGAGCTGTTTAATGTCACACTGTGGAACATTCCAGGCAGAGCAATGACATGTCCATAGAAACAAGCAGGTGATGGATTCCCCTCCCAAAAAGTTACACAGTGCAACTTTAAATAAGGAACCTACTCATAATATAAAAATTATGATATTTATATTATATACAAATAAATAATTATTCATATTCATATTTTTTCTGTATTTTTAAGTTTATTGTTGTTGGACATTGTATGTAACTGAGTATAGTAGTAGTAGTACCAGCGTCAGCAGCAGTAGTAGTAGTAGTAGCAGTAGTAGTAGTAGTAGTAATAGTAGTAGTAGTAGTAGTAGTAGTAGTAGTAGTAGTAGTAGCACCAGCACCAGCAGTAGTAGTAGTTGTAGTTGTAGTAGTAGTTGTACTAGCAGTAGCAGCAGTAGTAGTAGTAGCAGCAGCAGCAGCAGCAGCAGTAGTAGTAGTTGCAGTAATAGCAGTAGCGGCAGCAGTAGTAGTAGTAATAGTTGCAGTAGTAGCAGCAGCAACAACAGTAGTAGTAGTAGTAGTAGTATTTGCAGTAGTAACAGCAGCAGTAGTAGTAGTAGTATTTGCAGTAGTAACAGCAGCAGTAGTAGTAGTAGTATTTGCTGTTGTAGCAGCAGCAGCAGTAGTAGTAGTAGTTGCCGTAGTAACAGTTGCACAAATAAGAAGCTGTGAATGAGGAAATATTTGAATATATTCTGGATATCCTCATGTCCACACTGAGCTCTGTGTTACAGTAATGTGCTAATCAGACCAAAATGAAAGTCACCATTCGCTTAGTAACAACCGAGTGTGTTTGTGTCAAAATACAAACTCACACCGGCACTGACTCAGGTCAAAGATCTCCGCTGTGCGTGTCAGTGCATAAGAATTTATAATATCAAATATGTCGTTAACAGGAAAGATGTCACTCTGTGGTTGGCAGCATATAGTATACGAGTCACTGTTTAAAGGATTAGACTTTCTCAAGTGTCTCAGAACTAACTCTGTGCTGAGTTGTTTTTGGTCACTCAGTTTCATTTTCAAGTATAATCTGGAACATCTTTAAGATACTTCTTGAAATTAGAACAGGAAAACCACATAAAAGTTTCATCAAGCTGAATCGTGAGAAGCACAAGGAGAAGGAAGACATAAATTAATTTGGGTATTAGTTATTACATATTATAAGGTTGCCTAAGGTTGGCTCAAGTGTCAAATGTGGCCCTTGGACCATTTTTCTAGGCCCTGAAGGCTTCCATATTAAATGACCCATTCAATCTTAAAATTTATTTTTTACTCAAAGATTTGGAAAGTCTTTATTGATAAAGCCAATATCAGATATTGTGTTGAGCATCTAAACATAATTAAAGGTCCAGTGACTCATTCTAACCTGTTATAAATGCTAATATTTAAATTATTCACAGTTTGGTTTGGTTTATTTGTGTTTTGAAAGCTTGGTCACTGCTGCCTTAGCCCATGTAATTATCCTTTAAATTGATTTTATTTCATCTTTATTCGAATAGGTCAGGGAACAACATTCACAAAATAGGAACTAGGATTCTGATAATTGCTGTAGTTACAGAGAGGGTAAGGTGTATAATTAAATTTGAACTTATTTATCAGGGACAATGCCCACAAAACATTGAAATAAAAAAAAAAAAAAGGAAATATTTTTGTACCAGGTTACAGTTGTGGTAATGTTAATTTACATCAGGTTGATATTCAAAACCATCTGTACATCCTGGTTTCTTCTGTTCACTGCTCTGGCTCAGATGTGTGGCTCAAATCCTGGGCTATAAGTTTATACAGTCTACGGGTTAAGTGTGTATGTTTTTATCCTTAATAGACAAGATGCAATAAAGGCTCTTTAACTTTTCTCAACAGACGGAGTGCCTTGGTGGTGTATTATGTAGTGTCTGATACACATTTTTGCGGTTTTACCCTGCAGACTACTTCAGTATTTTCAACATGGTTGAACATGGTTTAAACCATGGTTACAACATCCTGTTTGTTTTTACTATATTTAAACTTTGAGCACTATTGCACTTTTTGTGGCACACACGGGCACGCTACCGGTCAAAAGTTTTAGATCACCCTGAATTTTACAGTTATTTATTGCAATTCAAGTCGTGCAAGTCCAATGAAGCACTTGAAATTGTACAAAGGTAAAAACTGAACAGCCAGAGGTAAAAAAAAAAAAAAAAAAAGATAACAAAAGACAAGTTCAAACTCTGCCAAAAATACCTCAGGAAAAAAGAACAAGATGGTGAGCTTGAAAACATGAAGTGTCCAGCACAGTCTCCAGACTTAAGCCTCATCGAGCTAGTTTTGGGATGAACTGGATAGAAAAGTAAAAGCCAAACAACCTACAAGTGCCACACTTTTATGGGAATGAAAACAGGTTTGGGAAGAACTTTCTGAAGAATATTTGATTTCTTTTGTAAAAAGATCAAGCCATGAGTGTGTTCAGCTGTTATATCTGCCAAAGGTGCACACTTTCATGAATCAAAAGTTTAGAAAGTTTAGTTTGCTCAACAGTAAACAGTAAAAACCTGGAAAAAATGTGGTTTTCTAAAACTTTTGACTGGTAGTGTACACACATATACACACACGCTGTCTAATCTTCTGCATTGTATTGTTTCTCTAGTTGCCCAATCAAGAAGTTGAACTTGGCTTTTATTATCTCATGAACATTTATTAACTGCATTTCTGGGATAACCCGTCAGACACTTCTGTTTACACTTTGTGGGCACTGCCAATATTGTGGGCATGAGTAAAACTGGCAGGTCATGTAATCAGTTGGTTAATTTCCTGTTTCTCCAAAGCTTTCGTCATCTGAGACCATAACAGTAAACCATTGTGCCATTCAAGAAACAGTTATACTTTAACCAGATGTGAAATTGAACTTCAGATTGAGGGTTTACAGGAAAAGCAAACAAGTAATCATGTAAATTGTTATAGCTGCCAACTGCGTAATACTGTTGATTTGATTTAATAGTATAAAGGCCCTATATTATGCAATTATTGACTCTTGTGGCTTTAGGCAATCTTACAATGCTGTTACCTTTAGTTCAGTAGAAATTGATGATTCTAGTGAAGGTGTATGCAGTTTAAAAACACAGTGGAGCACTTCCTATATTACTGCATGACATTACAAGGTGGAACAGAGGGTTTTCTGTTTGAGAGATGAAATAAGAGAAGCTTAAATAAATATGCAGGATTTATGTTAAACATGTGTAAACAAAACACAACTCCAGGTATGTTTGTGATGAGGAAACAACATTATAACACAGATCAGAAAATAGCGCAAAATGGGCCGTTTAAAATGTAAATAAATAACTATCGCTGTTGTGGAAACACATTTATGAGCTGTGAGAATAAACTTAAATTTCGTTTGTTGTGATTTCCAGGCGTTGCGTACTCAGTCGGTGGCATGGAAAAAATCCCAGTCCTCAGAAACTGGAGCTCTGAAAGAAAACATCAAGAAGAACAGATACAAGGATATACTACCCTGTAAGAAGTATTTGTACTGTATTTTAATTTGTACTTTATTCTATACTATCTTATTTTTCAGCCCTATATATTGTTGTCTACAAGTTCAGCCTGACTCGCCTGATTTAATACTTGGTTTTAATTTGTTTTAGATGATGATTCCAGAGTAGTCTTGTCTCTCCAAACCTCAGAATCTGACAGAGACTATATCAATGCCAGCTTCATTCAGGTTCACTCATATGTTATTAAACAGCTGATGAAAATAGCATTTATTCTCATTTATATAGTTCTCATTGTTAGTAGTTGTAATATCTTTGTCTTTCCTGTAGGGAGCGCTGTCTGGTGGTTATATTGCAGCTCAGGCTCCTCTCAGCTCCACCCTCAGAGACTTCTGGAGGATGATCTGGGAATATCAGGTTAAGGTACGACTTTGGGTCTATTAAAAAGGGATCATATGAATCAAATACAATATATTCTATGTCAAATTTCTCGTTGCAGGTGATCGTGATGGCATGCAGAGAGTTTGAAATGGCCAAGGTAAATATTGTCGGGCAAAAGTGAGTAGAGTAATGTGCAATATAAATATGTGTTCATGCAAAACAAAAAATAACAAAAACAGTGAGGTGTCGCATTAACAAAATGAACATTGAAACACATAAAAACTGTGCTATTTATTTATTTAGCATATATTTAACATATAACAATAAAAAAAGCACACTAGATAAAAAAAATTGGTTCTGGAAGAGGCAAAAAACCCAAAAAGGGCTTATATTAAAACCTCCACCTTATGAATACATTAACATTGAATTAAGTAAGTAAGTTCATTTTTATATAGTGCTTTTCACAGACATATGTCACGAAAAGATGCTTTACAGATAATTATTCATTCTCTCTATACCCGGTGGAGATCAGCGGCTGCCAGTCTGCGCCATCAGCCCCTCCGACCACCACCAACACTCATGCACACACCGCTTTCATACTGTGCAATGTGGGTGAAATGTCTTGCCTAAGGACACAATGAGCCCCTCTGTGTGAATATTATCGCTGTGCATTACTAAAAGATGACATTTACACACCTTAGATTAAATACATTTGATTAAAACATGGATTAAAATACAATGAAACATCCGCAACTGAATATTATCAAACATTATCATGAAATATCAAACATTTCCTCCAACTCTTTTTAAACAACTTTTCTGATGCCGTCACAAACCAGATGTGAAAATTGGCTCCAGGATTTACAGCCTCTGTATTGTGGGCAAAACCGAGCTCTTGATGTAACACATGAGAATACGATTTGGACAAGTTTTGTATCTATGTATCTCTGTGTTGGTTTGAAAGTAAAATGTGAAATGTTTAGGCCATTGCACCATTGTCCATCTGTGAAGTAGCAAGTCAAAGTATATATGACAGGTTAGAGTATTTTTTCACTAAAACATAGCAAACATCATTATATTTTAGGTTTTACAAAAAAAAAAAAATAGCTTTGTTTGTTTTATTTTGGTGATGTTTGTTATTTTCCTTCCTGTGACATACATAGAGGTAATTCCAGTTATTTTACCTAGCAACCATAATGTTAACAAGGGTCTACATTAAAGTTGTAGTTTAGAAATAGTTGTGATTAGAAAAATAAACATAAATGACAACACCTTTATTTCATTAAACCAGTATTTGATCTGTCAGAAAAATGCCTTCCTTGTGCGTAAGTTGTAAGTCTGCATTTTAGGTGGAATTTTCAGTGTAGGTTGATTGATTCTGTTTTAGAATTCAGTGCCAAGTCCTGTGTTTTTGTACTTTTCTTGTAATCTTTTTTCCACTTAACTGATGTAAAACTATGATAAATAATGACCACAGGTACTACCTCATCAAATTAAGAAATAATTAGAAAAACATGAAAACCTGTCACATGTACTTAAAATATGCAGTTACTTAACTTAACGTGAAAGCAAGATGCAATAAGAGAACTGTATCAAATGTTACTGTGGTAGGTTAATGTCAACTTCTGAAAGGCTAGGTAAAGTATTATCTGTGTTTTCTATTTATGTATCTTTTTGTCTTGCAGAAAAAATGTGAGGTTTACTGGTCTCAACTGAACCAAACCACATCCTTTGGACCATTCTCTGTTCACTGTGTGAGAATATTTACTATTATTAGTAGAAATACTTATACTTATACTTATATACAGCATCTTTAAAATCTGGAGAAATAATGTGTTGAAGTTGGATTCTGAGTGCAGTATATGTTTGTGTGTGTCCAGCAGGGGGAGTCCAGTCCCACTCAAGACATCATAGTCAGAGAACTGCAGGTCTCATTTCAGAGGGTAAAAATACACTGAGGAAGTACTTTACTGTCATTGTTTGTTAGTTTTTGTTTGACGTGTTTGTGAAGCTAAAGGGCATCGTGTAGTACCAGCCGGGCCATTTTTGTGATTTAACTCGTAACAAAAGCAAACAAGGCGAAAGACCTTAAACCTCAAATATAGTTAAAATGTCAAGACACATTTACAAGCACAATACAACAATGTAAATGAATAATCTTTTATTACATTGGAGTTTGCACAATATTTTTCTGAGCTAGAAGAAAATTCAGGTTCAGCAATGTGAGATATTCGAGTTATGGGGGGAACTTTTGGAATCCGTCTTGAATTACACTTGGATTAAATCAAATATCTAACACTTTCCAAACTATTCCCAACATGAACTTGTACTTTATAATACCACCATACTATAGTCAGTCCTATAGTTCAACAGTGCATACTCCCCTGTGTCTCTTGCTCTTGTGTCTCTTACTCTTGTGTCTCTTATTCTTTTGTCTCTTATTCTTTTGTCTCTTACTCTTGTGTCTCTTACTTGTGTCTCTCTTGTGTCTCTTACTCTTGTGTCTCTTATTCTTGTGTCTCTTACTCTTGTGTCTCTTATTCTTGTGTCTCTTACTCTTGTGTCTCTTACTCTTGTGTCTCTTTACTCTTGTGTCTCTTACTCTTGTGTCTCTTACTTTTGTGTCTCTTACACTTGTGTCTCTTACACTTGTGTCTCTTACTCTTGTGTCTCTTACTCTTGTGTCTCTTACTTACTTGTGTCTCTTACACTTGTGTCTCTTACTCTTGTGTCTCTTACTTCTTGTGTCTCTTACTCTTGTGTCTCTTACTCTTGTGTCTCTTACTTGTGTCTTGTGTCTCTTACTCTTGTGTCTCTTTACTCTCTTACTTGTGTCTCTTACTCTTGTGTGTCTCTTACTCTTTTGTGTCTCTTACTCTTGTGTCTTGTGTCTCTTACTCTTGTGTCTCTTACTCTTGTGTCTCTTACTCTTGTGTCTCTTACTCTTGTGTCTCTTACTCTTGTGTCTCTTACTCTTGTGTCTCTTACTCTTGTGTCTCTTACACTTGTGTCTCTTACACTTGTGTCTCTTTACTCTTGTGTCTCTTACACTTGTGTCTCTTACTCTTTGTGTCTCTTACTCTTGTGTCTCTTACACTTGTGTCTCTTACACTTGTGTCTCTTACACTTGTGTCTCTTTACTCTTGTGTCTCTTACTCTTGTGTCTCTTACACTTGTGTCTTGTACAGTGTGTACGTGTTAGAGTGTACAGAGCATAGTGGGCTGGGTTTATCACACTCTGGGGACTAAAATCTGAATTCACACTCTCATATCATGTGGACCTGACTTCCTCACAAAATCATCTCCTCTTGATGCAAATGGTTTAAAGTTTACATATGAGTTAAAATAGGTTAAGATTTGGGTTAAGATTAGGCAAGATGTAATTTAGGTTTAGATAAAAAGTCAATGTAATGTCCCCCAAGAAGCATGGAAAACCCAATGTGGCACTGCATTTGTGTGTGTGTACATGTGTGTGGGCTGTATGTGTGCCTGGTGTCATATGTACCATGTAGTGTACGTGTTAAATGCGTGTGAGTATGCAGTGATATGTGGAGGCTGGCCGTGCCCTGGCCATGATCAGACTTGTGTAGGATGGCCGTGTTGTGACCCAGCTGTCCTTGTGTTATTTCGCTGGTATTTTTGTGTTTCATGTGCCTGAATGCTTATGAACATTGGTGGGATTCAGGTGGCAGAGGCAAAATGAAGTAGACCATAATACAGTTTCAATACTTTACTGACATAAGATCTAGATACTAATGATTTTAAATCTTTAGAACAAAAAATAAACCACAATTTTGAATCAGTCAGCTCTTTAATCTCACCTGTTCTCTTCATTTTTATGTGTCTGTATTTTTGCAATCTCTGTCTTTGTTATTGCCTTTTATAATTATTGTTGTGTATTGAACTTTGATCAACTGCTTTGTTTTTAAAGTGCATTAGAAATAAAGTTGGTTTGGATTTGCTATATGTGTAGTTGAAATGAAAAACTATTTTAGGGTCAACATTTCTGTAAACATTTGTCTCCCAATCCCAAATTCCCACTTTTAAAGAGTCCATAGACCTTTATTTATACATTTTTTTGTGTTGGGATAAATGTAGTGGGACATTTTCACAAAAATACACCATGAGGTTTGGAATTTGCAGATTTTACTGATTTTCACTCATTACTTTTAGGATGTGCGTGTGGTCATCCAGCTGCAGTTCCTCTCATGGCCAGATCACGATGTTCCTTACGAGGCTTCAGGAGTCTTAGACCTGCTCCACAGAGTCCAAGACCTTCAGAAGTCAAGTCTGGACCTGGTCCAGAGAGTCCAAAATCCCCTAAACCGCAATCTGAAACTGGTGCACTGCAGGTGAGACTTATGGATTTATAACCTGGTTTAGTCCTAATCAAGACCTTGGCGTTGGTTAAGATTTATTTCAGATGACCTCACAACATTATACCGGCCAAAAATACAAAACAATGTAATACAGATGGAGGCAGCTAAAACTAATATTATTAAAGTGACGTATGCCAGCTACATCATTCCATGGAAATAGAAACTTAAATTCATAGACTGTATAAAGAAGTGGACTAAGGAAGTGTGACGTCACCCATAGCGTCAGCTCCAGTCAAATGAAACTCACAAGGTTAGCAGTTACGGGACAAATATGGAGCCAAAATCCAAAATAGCAAAATAAAAACACCATGATCATGTAGAGTGGGTTAATACGAACATTTTAAGACCAAAACGAGGAGACTCACTGCAGCAGTTACAGAAAGAGGGGTGACAATTTTTCCATGTAAAGTTAATTGGAGCCAGAGCCAGTGGAGCCGAAAATGCCTCCATGTTCCCTTCCTATTTGGAACAAAAACTATGAACCATATTTGGAGAATGGAGAGTTCAGTGCGCAAAAAAGCCATAATAAGCAACATTCTTTTACTGAGCTTTGTTTTTATAATATATTGTGATGTGTGAGCTACTCTGTCCACATATTTTTTCTTCTGGATCAGTAAAGTTTGTCTAAATCTAAGTCTAAATGTGACATATTATGGCTTTAAAATGCAGATTTTTTGTAATACAGTGAGTTCTTGGGTCTAGACAAAAACAGAAATTATCAGGTTGATCACAGTGAGTATGTTATACTCCCTAACTGGGAGTAAAGCATCATAACTTTCTCATATCTGAAAACCACAAATTGACACTTTGAGCTGACATCATGAAGGGGGATTTCTATAAAGCATTACCTACTGCCAGAAGTAGTTGCCAGCAGTTTCCATGGTGACACAATACAAACATTAGGAAACAGAGACAAAAAGTTAGAAAGTAAGAAAAAAATACTAAATGGATTTAATACACATTTATTACACATTTTCAGGAACTTGTGATCAATACGAGTGTTCATGGTCCTGTTTAGGTGTTTGATTTTCTACTAAAACGCGAGAGTGACAAACTGAAAAACTGAGTAACAGAGCTTCTAACAGAGCAGTGCTTTCAGTTAGCTTTATAGGGTCAGATCTTCTGCACTCTCTGATATTGTGGTGAGGTTGTGCAGACAGACGGGTCGCTGACAGAAGGAGGTGAATATGGATCAGTTCTCGCTGTTTGTAGAACAGTCACATCTGCTCCGTCTCAAACGTTCACGCATTTACATATTTATGCATTTAGAACATATTACACCACCTATACTCTCTCTGTGCTAAAACTCCAGTCTAGACAGATATTTTGTTCTGGTTAGTCTGCTGCCTAAAAAAACACACACACACAAAAGCTTTACATTTACACTTTAAAGGTCCTGTATTACACAAAAGTGACTCTTGTGACCTTTTTGTTTTTGTTATAATGCTGTTATCTCATCAAAAACATATCTAGAGTTGTTTTTGTTTCATTCTCACTTGCTTGACTAATCCTCTGTCTGTCTACTTCTCCAAGGCTCAAAATGCTCTGTTCCTCCTTGTGATGTCATGTGAACAGCTGCCTTTTACCTTTAGTTCAGTAAGTTTTGGATTGGAAATTCCAGGACTGAAATTGAAATGTGTATGAAATTGTATGAAGTTTAAAAACACAGGGGAGCACTTCCCGTATTACCACATGGCATGAGTGTTTTCTGTTTGAGAGAAGAACTCAGCCTAAATATCCAGGAGTTGTGTTTTAAACATGTGAATAAAACAAAACAAAACACAACTCCACAACATTATAACATAGATCAGAAAATAGCTCTTTTGTATTGTTGTTATGACTCAGTTCTGCTAGAGACAGGGGAAGTAACAAAAGAACCAAGACGTAAAATGGTAAAACTAAAGTTGTAATTTATTCAAAAAGGAAGGTAAAGGTAGAGCTATTTACAATGTTTAACAAAAAGAGACTCTAAACCAGGGGTCTCCAACCTTTTTCCTCCGGTGAGCTCCATTTACAAAACTCAATTGCCAGAGAGCTACTAATTTTAGGGGCTGCAAGAAATTGAGACGATTATAAGAAAGAGAGCAAGTCTTTGGGTACAGATGCCTACAAAACAAACCATTGTCCATTTATTAGTGCACAAAGTTCGAAATTACACATTTACAATGGTAATAGGGATGTAATTAACCAATTTTTTGTTATTCAGCACAATAGTATAATTCCAAAATCCCTTGGCGAGCTACTTTGAAGGGGGTGGAGAACTACTGGTGGCTCCCGAACTACAGGTTGGAGATCCCTGCTCTAAACAGAGTAGCTAAATGTATAACTAAAAGCAGGGTAACAAAAACAGAGTATATGCAGTAAATGACAATAACAGAAAAACAAGCCAGTCTCAAAACAAAGCCACAAAGGACTACTAGTGTCGCAATCAAAGTTAACAAAAGCAACACAAGAAACACAGCAGCAGGCAGAACAGTAGCCATGAGTGGCAGGGGGCGGGTCCTTTTATAGGCGTGGCGCTGCAGGTGTTGGCCCAGCATTGGTCAGGAGTTAGGGCGATACACCAAACATGCCAGCTTGAATTGAATCCACCAATCACAGCAGGGGTCTGGAAGATGGAGGCTTGCACACACACACACACACACACACACACACACACACACAGGGATCAGCAGCAGGGACTTAAACATATAGAAGGCTTGTGGCTGTATCAATTGTAGGTTTGTGGCAAAAAGGGGGGAGTTTGTAATGAATTTAAATAACATAATTTGAAGAAAATAATCTAAATTGGGCCCAAAATATTGGTAGAGCTTATTGGCCACCTCTAGTACAGACATAACACATAGAACAAGGTCAAATTACTATGTACTCCCATTCATACATTTTCATAGTTTTAGAATACAGTAGAGATCTTATCACTTTTATTCTTCTGTTTCTCTCTCTAAATATCATTTGTCTTTTTACAGAGAAAACGTGGAGATGTTATCAGTCCACACTCTACTTTGTCCTACAAAACATCAAAAACACAAAATACAACAACTAGAACACAAATTAATTCTATAAATATGTTTTAATATCCATACAAGATTTACAAATCATAATTTTTCCTTTACATTTTTCTTATTTTCAAAGCAATCATCTTAATAATAAATGTCAAAAGCAGATATTATCAAAACGAAATGAAGGAACAATAAAAATAAATAAATAAAGACAGAGGAGGAGAAAAGAAGAGAAGAAAAAAGTAAGGAAAAAATTGTTGATTTGCAGTTTTCCATAAAGGGACCCCATTTCACTAATGAGTTCTAATGCGATCCAAATGAATGTAAATATAAACATGCTTAGATAATAATGTATGCAGATGTATGTAGAGTTATAACAGGTCATAATATGGTCTGTCTGATACAAAACTGTGTCAATAAATGTCTCCCAGAGCACACAGAACAGATCTCAGCCCTAGTCTAAAGCTTTGTGGATACTAGAATTGTCAGAAGTATCAAAAAATCAGATACTAATCGATAGGGGTGTGCAAAAATATCAAAATGTTGATATATCGTGTCATTTAATGTGATGATATAGTATCGATATCAGGGGCTGCTGTATCAATATATCGCCAAGAGTTTTTTTTTTTTGGTATATTTTACTAAATTATATTGTTTCCACGCTGCAGTTTTGTTTCTTGTTCAGAGGAAGGAAACTCTTTCATGCGACACATTTGACATTTTCACTGTTTTGATGATTAAAATAGGTGTGTTTCATATGAACTTTACACAAGAAGTGGTTTAACAAAGACTTTTAGTATCACAGCCATGGTTTAGCCTTTATTTTTATTAAACCGTATCAAATCAATTTAAAATATATCGTACTGAATCGAAAGTGCACTGTATCGAGATATATATCATATTGTGGCCTATGTATCGAGGTATGTATCATATCAGCAACTTTTTAATGATATCCAGCCCTACTAATCGATACTAAAACTAGGATCGAAACTACTAATTTGAGCAGGTATCGATACTAAATAAAGTCACATTTGGACCACTGAGGCATTACGCAAATATAACACCACATGGTAAAAGAAAAGAAAATACTATGATTTAATCGAGTGTTTTTCATTATTATTGTGGTATCGAGTTTTTAAATTTTAGTATCGTGTCAACAATAGTAGATACACAACATAAATATATGAGATTATGACTTTATGTTGGAGAATTGTTTTGGTTCATTCTTAATTTTTTAAAACTTTTTTTTACTTTACTTAATGGTACAGTGTGACCTATTTGTCTCCACAAACATTTCAGGCAAAGCAATAACATCCCCATGGACTCACAGAAGAAAATTTACACAGTGCATCTTTAGGTTTTATGATTTCGTAGCTTCAAAACACAGATTAATCTTGATATATCCTGTGTCTTAGTGCTGGCTGTGGAAGAACTGGAGTTATCTGTGCTTTGGACCAGATCTATCAGCTACTCCTACACCAGGTGAGAGTGTGATGAAGTATTTATTCTATCTGCCTCTCAGTGAAGAGGTTGTGGGTTCCAGTCTTTCCAATCTTTGTGAATATATTTTGTGTTTTTACAGAAGCTCACCTCAGACTTTAACATTATGAGGCTTGTTATGGAGCTGAGGAGACAGAGGCCCAGTGCAGTGCAAACCAAAGTAAGAAATAACACATTATTCATCAAGTACATATTTAGCCATGTTTTAAAAAAGGAAGAGTAGTTATAGAAGTATCAGAGAATCAGGAAGTTTCACTCCCACACTTCAAAATTTTCACTAAACTAAAAATAAAAGCATCTATAGCAAACTGGAAATCCTTAGTAATGAATCAAGTAACAACAGTGGAGGAGTATGCTGTATTAAGAATATTATATTTATTTTATTTCTGTCAAGGCCATGTACAACACAGTTTTGGTGCTAACAAGAGATAAAATATGTAAAAGAAGATAAAAAATAGAGTGGCTTGACAAGACATGATAGTCAAAATGGACAAGATTTGAAGAGATCTATGCCAAGGCACAGTCCCTATCTCGCAATCGTACAGATTTAGAGCCCAGAGCACTTACAGATGTTCTTGACTTTGATCTAGATAAACCGAAAAGATTAAATATAAAAAAAATAAACCTAAATCAGATTTATTTACACTAATACATCTTCTTGTTTTGCCTTATTTTGAAAGGAACAGTACCGCTTCATCTACACAGCTACTTCCTGTTTGTTCAAATGGTTCCTCGAGAAGAACAGCTCTGATTCAGTGTACTACAACCTGCCCAGGGTACTGCATAATGTCCTACTACTACTGCTGCTGCTGCTGCTGCTGCTGCTGCTGCTGCTGCTGCTGCTTCTATTACTAGTACTTATAACTGCTATTTCACCAAATACAAATGTGACTGCAGTACTCACAGTAACAGACCAGAGCAGTGAGGGTTTGCGCTTGAATCTGGATTTGTAAAATTGTGACCAAGGTTATTTTTAGATAATCTGGCAAATATTCTTACACCTGATGCTCTGTTCATGTCATACTGGTCTGGGACTGGTCAAATCTCACCCAGATTAGAATGCCAATCTTAAAGGTGCAGTATGTAACTTTGTTTGGTTGTCCGTCATCTGCTTGTTTCTATGGAGATGTCATTGCTCTAGCTCAGTCATGTCCAAACTATGACTCGTGGGCCAAATTCGGCCCTCAGACAAATTTTTCCAGGTGAATTGGCCCAAATTACCTTACATCAATTAAAAATTAGCTTTTTACTACAAGTTTTTTGAAAATCTACCTTAATAAAGCTAATATTTAATATTTAGTGTGTGGTTTTAAAGATCTTAGCATGATTAAAAACTGATGGCTCATTCTAACACATTAAACATGCACATATTTCAATTGTTGACTGTATTGAGCACCAGTCTATGGCCCTCGATCAGCTCTCTGCTTCGTCTGTGTTTATATATGTGGCCCTTGATGAAAAAAGTTTGAACACCCCTGCTCTAGCTGGAATGTTCCACAGTATGACATTAAACAGCTTTACCTTATATTTATTCAATTGCGGGTGGTTTTATAGCTCAAAAATACATCGAAAAACAGTCAGTCTGTGAGCGCTATTGCCTCTTCACAGATCTGACCTGTAACTTGGTCTGGTTTGGTCTCCGTGATGATAGAACGGTTTAATGCCATGCGGAGAAACATTCCAGATAAAGCAATAACATCTCCACAGAGAAAAGTGTTTGATGAATCATTCACCAGAAAAGTTACACAGTGCAAATTTCTCTGATGATGTAATTTAATTTGCAATCTATATCAAACAAGCACACATTTAGTTACGTAACTGACACTTTGCAGTGACCTCTCGCTGGGGGTGTCCTACAATGGACAATGAGCATTCATGGTTCTACAAAATGGACTTAACTTTAGACTTCAGACAGACATCAGTTGCAAAGTGTCAATACTCTATAGAAATTGTGCTCTCAAGAATTGTAATTTTAGATTTTTACAAGCAACAACATGCAAACTAAACATTATGTACTCCTTTAAGAAATACAATTTTACCTCTCAACACAACAAAAAGGAAAAGCGTTTTGTTGTTTCGTTATGGTGTTATAAACAGTGAACTTCTTCTTCTTTTTCTTACTGTAAGTATAGTTCTGATCTTTGTAAAATAATACTTTGCATAAAAAGGAGGTGAACCTGCTGCAGCTGGACACAGAGCAGCTCACAAATATATTCAGATGTGACAGATCATAAGAGGAAGGCTAGCCCACAGAGAAGTGACACTTCCTGTTTTCAGAAACCGTTTAACACAATACCAGAACAGTGTTGTACCAGGGCTGAACCAGAACCAAACCAGAAACAAACCATAGCCTAACCAGGACTAAACCATGACCAACAAAGGAATAAACCAGGGAAAAGTAGAACACTGAGGTGAGTTTTTCTTGGTTTATCTTCTGTGAGATCTTATACTATGTTTTACTTTTCATGGTGGTATTTTGGTCACGTTAAAGCCCCACTGCATAAACATATTAACAAAATAATATAAAACTTAAATTGCTTAGATATTTTTTTCATTTCGGATATTTTATTGTACTGAAAAACTTGCATCCTTACTGTGAGCTGGCTTGGATCTCTTGATTTCGTTCTTGCCTTGGGGAGGGCGTCCACCTGCTTGTCTCCACGGAAACGTGTGGCTTTGGCTGTAATATTCCACAGTATGGCATTAAACTAACCTCCGTGTCTATCTCTATGATGTGTACTTTTAAATTTCTGCTTCCATGGACTCATGTAGGTGACGTGCCGCAAGATGTTGCTTTATATGACACTTCTGTTCTTTTATTTCTATTTTAAAGGCCTATATTACACAAAATGGACTCTTTTGCGAGCTTAAAGTCATGTTATAATGTTGTTACCTCCTCAAAAACATACCCAGAGTTGTGTTTTGTTTCATTTACACGTGTTTGAGTAATATTTATTATTAGTCTGAGTGCATCTCCAAAGCTCAAAATGCTCTATTCCACCTTGGGATGTCATGTTGTGGTAGTTATCAAGTTAACAGCTACCTTTTTTACATTTTTTTCCCGCAGAGATTGGCAATTCCAGCGCAGAAATCATCCAAATTATTATAATGAATGTGTATGGAGTATAAAAACATAGCAGAGCACTTCCTATACTACCACATGACATCACAAAGGTGGAACTCAGCCTAAATATGCAGGGTTTGTGTGTTAAACGTGTGAATGAAGCAAAACACAACTCCAGGTCTGTTTGTGACGAGGAAACATTAGAAATTGAATCATAACATAATGTGATATGAACATTTTAATATATAAGCAGCAGAAAGCTTTCTCACTGTTTACAGTAGTTTTGAAAATTTTGGGTCCCCACCCTCCAATGTAGACATAGTAGACAAAGAACCTGCTAAATGGTAGTTATTAGTTTGATTATAGTGTGTCAGATCTGCAGCAGTTGGCGTGTCTGTGTTGAGGATTCTGGTTACATTTTTGTGAGTGGATTTTCATACTTCTTTACATTTGAAATGGAACTTTTTAGAGAAAGGAAAGATATTAATGGACCTTTATTTAAAAGGGGATTATTGGTAAGATATTATAAACCTGTGTGTTTGTAATGTGCATGTGGTTTGTTTTGTTTTAGTTTTTAATGTAATTTCTTTCATGTTTATAAGGAGAAACTATGGTGAAGGTTTAAATGTGCATTGTGTAACTTTTCTGGTGGAGGGTCCATCAAAAGCTTTTCTCCACGGGGATGTTATTGCTTTGTCTATAATGTTTCACAGTATGGTATTAAACCTTTCTATTATCATGGAGATTAAACCAGACCAATTTACAGGTGAGATCTCTGGAGAGGCGACCCCGATCACAGTCAGAATGCCTGTTTTGTTTTTCTAGGTATTTTTCAGCTATAAAACCACCTGTAATTGAATAAATGTAAGATTTCATACTGTGGATCATATTCATAGAAAAAAGCAGGTGATGATAGCCTGATTCATCAGTCGGTTTCACTTCATGGTTTCAGTTCACAGCATTAGGGTTCGTTTGCTTGACCGTAGGCGGGTACTTTTTTATTTAACCAATCGCTGCTATTTGGTCATGATGTATCTAATGTGCCACTAATGGGACTAACTGGTATATTAAGCTTTTCCCAAATCCTGTAGGAAAAAGGGCAATAACGTCTTTCTCCTTGATAAAATTCACCAAACATTCTCTTTGTTCTGGCTTTAAATGCTCGATCTCGGGAATCGTTGCCAACACAGAATGTATGACTCTTCACTGATTGGCTGGTGCCCGGACTCGCACTTCCGGGGTTTTTGCGAACCGTCTAGTGTATTCTGATTCCTGATCTAGTCGCTGGAGAGAAATGAAATTGAAAGCTAACATACATGAACATTCGCACAGACAGTGGCTCCCTCTTTTCTGCTTCACTCAAAGAAAAACTAAAACTAAAACACAACATTACCCACGCCAGTCCATCTTTCCCACAATCAGGGAATAATTTAGCTCCATAAAATGCTTCTTTATAAAAGAAAAATATATATATATAACTAGGTGGCATCAGCCTGACTAGGTGATGGACCCCCAGCCAAAAAGTTACATAGTGCACCTTTGAATTTTAAATGTTCAAAATAAAGTAACTCTAACTCTGTTTTATCTGTTTTCAGTTGAACAATTCTCAGAGTGTCCAAGCAGCTGTAACAAACAACAGGTTAGTCCTTGTTCAATCTTGATTTGGTTTAGTTGTGTTTAAGGTCCTATATTACACAAAAAATGTCTCTTGTGATCTTTAAGTCATATTATAATGTTGTTACCTCATCAAAAACAGGCCTGGAGTTGTGTTTTGTTTCATTCACACATGTCTGAGTAACACTTTATTATTAATCTGTTTACTCCAGGTATGTTTGTGATGAGGAAACAACATTATAACTAATATAAATCAGAGAATAGTGTAATATGGGCCCTTTAAGCTGAAAGAATAGAGGAGAACAGAGCGGGAGGAGCAGAGCGGCCGATATTGGCTCGGTTTAATGAGAATGTGGTGAGAGATGGCCCATATGGAGGTGTGACCAGTTCAGAGTGAGATTCTCAGTCTCCTCAGTGTCACCCCCCCTCACACACACACACACACACACACAGACGCACACATACACGCACGCACGCACTAACACAGTAACACATACCCCCTCCATCATGCTGACCCCCCATCAGCATCATGTTCACCGTCTCCATGGAAACGCTCAAACCAGGAAGCAAGCGAAAGGCTTCATCATATTCTGAGCATGGAGCCTTTAGATTTGCACCATGCAGGAGTGTCCCTATCTCGCAATGATAACATTATAGATACAGAATTATACCACATAGATCAGCTAGTTCAAGAGTAAATGCTCTGAACCCCTCACAAGAGTAAAGAAACAACTACATTTAATGATTTGTTAAAAAACCCATATTAAAAATTTACTCTTGTGTAGGGCTGAGTATCATTAAGAAGTTGCTAATATCATACATATCTCGATACATAGGCCACGATACAATAGATACCTTATTACATAGGCCATGATTCGATACAACCTCGATACATAGGCCACGATATGATACAGGCCTCGATACATAGGCCACGATTCGATACAGCCCGATACATAGGTCACGATTCGATACAGCCCGATACATAGGTCACGATTCGATACAGCCCGATACATAGGTCACGATTCGATACAGCCCGATACATATACGATTCGATACAGCCCGATACATAGTCACGATTCGATACATACCTCGATACATAAGCCATGATTCGATACATACATCAATACATAGGCCACGATACGATACATACCTTGATACACAGGCCACTATTTAAGATATACCTCGATACATAGGCCACGATACGATACATACCTCGATACATAGGCCACGATATGATACATACCTCGATACATAAGCCATGATGCAATACATATCTTGATACACAGTACACGATACAATACATACCTCGATACACAGGCCACGATTCGATGCAGTGTGATTTTTGATTCGAAGGCTATATCATGGCTGTGATTCTAAAAGTCTTTGCTAAACCACTTCTTGTGCAAAGTTAGTATGAAACACGCCCATTTTAATCATCAAAACTGTGAAAATGTCAAATGTGTCTCATAAACAGGTTTCCTTCCACTTTTTTAGTTTAGTAAAATATGCCAAAAAATACTCTTGGCAATATATCGATAAAACAGCCCACGATATCGATGCTGTAACATCGCATTAAACGACATTTTGATATTTTTGCATACCCCTACTCTTTTGAGCTTCAAGCCATGTTATAATGTTGTTACCTCATCAAAAAAAGACCTGGAGTTGTGTTTTGTTTCATTCACATATGTTTGAGTAATCATTTATTATTAGTCAAGTTAACAGCTTCTTTTACCTTTAATTCAGTAAAGATTGGCGATTCCAGAGCTGAAATTATCCAAATGATTCTCATGAAGGTCTATGGAGTTTTAAAACATAGTAGAGCACTCAATGTATTATCACATGACATCACAAAGTGGAACATCACAAAGTGTTTGAGAGAAGAACTCAGCCTAAATATGCAGGATTTTTGTGTTAAACATGAGTGAATGAAACAAAACACAACTCCAGGTCTGTTTGTGATGAGGAAACATTATAACATAGATCAGAAAATAGCAAAACATGGGCCCTTTAAGAAATAGGGATTGAGCCAAAAGTGAGTTTTTTTGACCACACAACACAACGATACTGTCACTTCCACCACATTTGGGAAGTAATCAAAGTGTACAGATTTGTGCAATTTGAAATATTCAAGAAACACAGAAGTATTCCTCATGCCGAAACTCATGCTGTTTACAATTTTCTATTCATTGGTTTAAAGGTCACTGTGCACTGTGTTCTGATGAAGGGTCCCTAGCTGCTTGTCTCCATGGAGATGTTATTGCTTTGGAATGTTCCATGGTGTGACATTAAACATCCATCTAGCATTTTTTCATTACGGGTGTTTCTGTTTCTCAAAAATACAATGTAGTGTAGTGCTATTACCTGCTTGTCTCCCTCGTGATAGATTTAATAGGTTTAATCTATACTGTGGAACATTCTAGACAAAGAAATAACATGTACATGGAGATAGGCAGGTGGTGGACCCTCGACTAGAAATGTTACACAGTGCAGCTTTATAATTATCTGAATTTGGAGCAGGTCCAAGGAGCAGAGCATGGAGGCGACGTACGCTGTGGTCAACAGGAAGGGGTGTGCACCTTCGACCTCCACCCTCCCCAGGTAGGTCTACAATAAACACTTAAAGTCCTATATTACACAAAATGGACTCTTGTGAGCTTTAAGTCATGTTATTATGTTGTTACCGGCTCAAAAACACTTGGAGTTGTGTTTTGTTGATGTCATGTATTGGTAGTTTTCAAGTTAACAGCTCCTTTTACCTTTAGTTCAGTGAAGAGCAGCAATTCTAGTGCTGGAATCATCCACATTATTCTAGTGAAGGTGTATGGAGTTTAAAAATACAGTAGAGCACAAAACATCACAAGGTGGAGCAGAGTGTTTTCATTCTGAGAGAAGAACTCAGCCTAAATATTCACGGTTTGTCTGTTAAACATGTGAGAATGAAACAAAACACAACTCCAGGTCTGTTTATAATGAGGAAACAACATTATACTTACTACTTACTTGGATCGATCCTGGTTTTAGTTTTACATCAGTTAAATGCCAGTTTGTGTAAAGAAGCTGAGAAAGAAAGTGCAAAAAAACAGGAAGTAGCACTTAGTTCTAAAACAGAGCCCCACTACTAGTATTATCAACACGGAAATTTCCCTTCAAAATGCAATTTCCATTTCCAAGCACGGACGGCTTTTTTTGATAGTGTAAATATTCATTTACCTAAATAAAGGTGTTGATATCTATTTATATTAGTCTAATCATAACTATAGTGCAGTTTAGGCGTGTTTTGGTTAATGTTATGGTTTCCAGGTAACAGAGCTGGCATAGACACTTTGCTGTGCGGAGTTCTACGTGTATCTCTATTGGTGAAATGTTTGGCAGTTACCGTGGTCACACAATGCAATACAAGCATTCGTGGTCTTGTTTAGGTGTTTGATTTTCAACAAAAACTTGTTTAACAACACAAATCAGCTCTCCTGTTGTAGTTTCAGCTCAGTCAGCTCTTTCTGCTCAGACTGTGTTAAAATAAAGCACAGATTAAAGTCTAATAAAGCTTCAGACAGAGCTGTGCCTACAGTTAGCGTCACACACCCTGGGAATATTGATAACATCAGCTGCAGAGTGTAAGTTATGTTTACGTATGTCGCATCTGCTGCCCGTGTCCAACCAGAAAGCAAAATAATAAACATCACCAGAATAAAAAAAAAAGACAAAATACAAACGCAATGGTGTCCAAAAAGCATGAATAAAACAGAATATGTGAACTCTAAAGGCTCTGAATCTTTTTTCCAGGAACACAGACCCTCACTATGACAACATCCAGCTGCCGTCATCCACCCCTGTGTACGGCGTGGTCCGCCCCCGAGCCAAGCCCATCCCCACGGACACTAACCTGTATGACATGGCCTCGCCCACAAACTCTGACATCACGCCGCAGTATCACCTCCTCTCAGGTCTCTCACTCTCTCTTACAATGATCTGTTTTCATAGGGTGTAGGGAGTAGTAGGTTCATAGACTTAAACTTAGACAAACGTTATTGATCCACAAGGAAATTATCTGGACACAGTAGCTCACACATCACAATATAATATAATAACAAAGAGAAAAAATATATAAATGGTAATAACAAATTGTAAATAAGTAGCAAAAAAAGATAGCAAGGAAAAGAAAAGTAGGTAAAAGGTAAATCTAACAGCAGTGCAAAAATTAAGATTGGTAGTGACATAAGGGACTATAGACACATAATACTAAAGGTAGTAATTCGAGGTGTGCAAAAATATTGAAATATTGATGTATCGTATCATTTAATGTGATGATACAGTATCAATATCGTGGGCTGCAGTATTTTTTGGTATCTTTTACAAAATTATTTTGTTACTGTGCTGCAGTTTTGTTGCTTGTTCAGTGGAAGGAAACTCGTTCATGCGACACATTTGACATTTTCACTTTTGATGATTAAAATGTTTGTGTTTCATATTCACTTTGCACAAGAAGTGGTTTAACAAAGACTTTTAGCCTTTATTTTTTTATTAAATCATATCGAATCAATTTGAAATATATATCGTATCGAATTGAAAGTGCACTGTATCGAGATTTGTATCGTATCGTGGCCTATGTATTGTATCGGCAATTTCTTAATGATACTCAGCCCTAGTAGTAATGTCATTAGCAGTATTAATACTTTCATCAACTCTTATAGCTCTTTCCACAATAACTACTGTTTTGGGAAGTGAGTTACTGAATACCGAGAATACGTGTTCTGAATACTAATTTTGAGTAACTGTGTTCTGGTACTTTGTCATTTGGTGGTATTCAGAATACAGTTACTTCTCTAAAATCAAAGGAACATTATGGTGTTCGGTCGTGTAATATAAGCTTCAACCTAAACATAACTAGAGCAAAATAGAAGCTGTGGTGAGCCCTGTGTGGTTTAATGACTGGAAATGCTGTTTTTAATACTATGTTTTGTCTTTGCACTATCATTTAAATGCAACTTGATGTTACAGTTTTCTAAGAGTTCAGAATACATTTCTCTGATTGGACCATTTATCATAATACACTACAAAATACATTTTAATGCAGGTATTCAGTATTCTCTAACTAAAAACATGTTCAAAGTATTCTTCCCATCACTGCTATTGCACCTTACAGTATAAATTGAAACAGAAAATTAACAAAAGTTGTGTGTTATTTTCAGAGGCCCCAAGACGGGTGACAGACGTAGATGACGACTATGAGGATGTAACCCCCACAAGCCCAGACAGCAGTTTACCCCACGTAGACGGGATTGGTACGATCCATTTCCACTCACTACACTACTACAGACTACAGATCCCCCCAACAAAACCTCTGAAAAGTAAAACTAATTAAATAATGCACATTACTACAAAGAGGTTCATTTTGGTCTTTTAATATTATTTTGAAATAAATCCAATCCACTTTATTTCTTTCAATCTTCAAAGATGAGAATTTTTTTTTAAAAAAAAATCTACACTTTAATGCAAAAAAAAAAAAAATCATAATAAAAATTTAAAAATATATATATATAATAAATGTTGTAAAATAAATAAATACATTTTCTTTTTAAAGGTGGACTGCGTAACATTTCTATCGGAGGGTCCACTACTTGCTTGTCTCCATGGAAATATAGTATAGAACACAGGTGTCAAACATAAGGCCCGGGGGCCAGATCCGGCCCTCCAAGACCTTTAATCGGCACAGTGGCTGAGTGGCTAGCACTCATGCCTCACAGCAAGAAGGTTCTGGGTTCGATCCCCAGGTCGCCCGGGCCTTTCTGTGTGGAGTTTGCATGTTTCTCCCCGTGTCTGGATGGGTTTCCTCCGGGTGCTCTGGTTTCCCCCATCAACACAAAACATGCTCCAGGTCTCCAGAACAGTTGATAGTCATGGTCAGTTAAATACAATCAATTCAATCATTGGCAAGACACTTCACCCACATTGCCTAGTATCAAAGTGGTGTGTGTGTGTGTGGTGTGTTCGGAGGGACCGATGGCGCCGAGTGGCATGGCAGCCGCGCCTCTGTCAGTGTGCCCCAGGGCAGCTGTGGCTACAATAGTAGCTTACCACCAGGGTATAGAGTGAATGAATGCTGAATGAATAATGCTGAATAATGCTGTAAAGCGTCTTTGGGGACAGAAAATGTCTGTGAAAGCACTATATAAATAAAGACTTACTTACTTACTAATCTGGCCCTCAGCTGACTTTCTACTAAAATAATAATTATAATTTCTTTTTACAGGAAGTGTTGGTATGGTTCCTTCAAAAAAATGATTATAACAAAGGCCAACAGTTATACCAAAATATTTAAATTAAGTTCCTCTCAGACTTCAGAAATAACCAAATATGTTGTTATTTTATTTATATTTTTATTTTCCTCCAGGTTTTAATAAGCGTTTGCCCAAACCCAGAGGACCTAGGGACCCTCCATCCGAGTGGCGACGCCTCGAGAGATGAAACATGAAACTAAGTTATTTTTTAATATTATGAATACTTTTTTGGCTTGTGACTGTTGGATTATGCTATGCACTGTTTTGTGAATTAAAAATACAAAACTAAAGCTGGTTTTGTTGTGAAATACTTTTACCTCAATTATAACTTTAACAGCCGTCCTCTTAAACGGCGATTATGGTTCTGTCCAGAAGGGGGCAGCACTTTCACACTTTTACCACATCTGGATTTAAATAAAACCTGCCTCATTCTGGTAGTTTTATAAGTAGGCCTACAAAATCATTGTTTTGTTTTATTTTTTCCTGAGTTTACACCAGGTTTAAACCTAACTCACTCAACACAAAATCAAAACAATGTCAATTATTGTCTTTTCAATCTAACTATTTCTTACTGAGATGAACACAAAGTGATATTACATCCACGTAGGAGACCACAGTGGACTGACAAACACAATTTATTTATCTTTGACTCAACCTTGTCCGGTGACGTGTTCTTATAGAGCTATAATTAGTCTTTGTTGTTTTCGTTTTTACTTTTACCGAGTTTAAAAAAAAAAAAAAAAAAAGACTAAACAGTGACGTCACCAGGTCACTGTGACTTGGTGTATTATTGAGATCAGCAGAGACGGGCTTCAGCTGGTCCAATCAAGTGAATCCTGCAAAGACTGAACACATAAAAACATGCTGTGTCACAACGGAAGGGCATCTGGTGTAACTCTTGGGCAAATATGAAAAAATATGACAATATAGTGGGTTCATTCATCAGATTATGTATGTTAGACTACTTTTAGTATGGATGGAAAATATTCAGATTTGATATTTTACTTTAAACGCCCCAATATCTATCTATATATTTATTTTCTGATTCATGTTTTAAGGTTGTTTCCTCGTCACATACAAACCTGGAGTTGTGTTTTGTTTCATTCGCACACAAATCCTGCATATTTAAGCTGAGTTCTTCTCTCAAATTGAAAACACTCGCTTTCAGGAAGTGCTCCACTGCATTTTTAAACTCCGTACACCTTTAACATAGTAATTGGGATCATTTCAGCTCAGGTATTGCCAGTCTCTTCCAAACAAAAGGTAAAATGTTGCTGTTAACTTGAAAACTTTGAGCATTTTGAGCTTTGGAGATGAAACAGACTAATAAAAAAGCGCTGCTCAAACGTGTGAATGAAACAAAACACGACTCCAGATGTGTTTTTGGTGAGATAACAGCAGGATAACACGGTGTAAAGCTCACAGGAGTCAGTTTTTTGAAACATGAGACCTTTAAGCTTGTGTATGTAGTGTATGTGCATTTATAAACCCGTGTTACTAACATTTGACACTGAAATATGAACAGATAAACAAATATAAGAACCCCTTTTCACCACAGGGTTAGCAGGTTTTCATTAATTACAACATGGAGCCTTTTGTTGTTTGTAGGACATTGTTTTACCAAAAATAATTGTGGATTTTTTCATATTCGACCCTTCAAATTTGAGATTATATTTGTAACCCAATGAGCAACTGCGGCTTTGAGGCTGTAGAGATGTAGTCCGTCTTTAGTCCAGGTTTAGTTCTGTTTTAGACCTGGTTCAGTACTGGTTTAGTCTTGCCTCAGACCTGGCTCAGTCTAGTTCTGGTTTGGTTCAGGTTTGGTCCCGGTTCTCTCTCCTGTTGCTAGGCGACAGAGGATGAAGCCTTTGAAGTCCCGGTGATTTTTTCTGATGAATCAGGTCACAGTCTGAGTTTCCACGGCAACAGCAAAGAGGGGCGGGGCAAGGACAGAGGAGACAAGAAGGGAGGAGAGAAGGAGACAAGAGGAGGGAAGGATAGGGGAGAGGAGAGAAGACACGGAGGTGAGAGAGGTGATGGAGGAGAGGAGTCCTGCGATGGGACTAGTGGTGGTTTGTGGTATTACAGGTTTTGACACTGGGAGAATCTAAAATGAAAACAGAACCATCGCTAACATATTTAAAGGTCATATGTTACACAAAAATGACTCTTGTGAGCTTTAAGCCATGTTACATTGCTGTAACCTCGTCAAAAACATACCCAGAGTTGTGTTATGTCTCATTCACACATGTTTGGGTAACACTTTATTATCAGTTTGTCTTCATCTTTTAAGCTCAGAATGCTCTGTTCCACCTTGTGATGTCATGTCGTGATAGTTTTCATGTTAACAGCTACGTTTTATCTTTAGTTGAGTAGAGACACATGGCAGGAATTGAGTGTTTTCAATTTGAGAGAAGAACTCAATTCCAGGTCTGTTTGTAATGATAAAACAACATTATAACAGATAAGAAAATAATGTAGAGCAGGATTTGTCTGACTATATACTGTAGATTATTTGAGTGGTTATATTCACTCCTTATACAGTATTTTATGTTCTGTGCTTATTTGAAGGTTGACACTTAGTCAGCTTAGCCGTAGTGTCCTTGGGCAAGACATTTCACCCAACTTGCCATTTAAATGTTGTGTGCGAGTGAGTTTTCAGAGAGACTGATATTGAGATGGTCAGTCTTGTTTGCCCCAGTCTCCTCCTTCTGAAAACTGTACAAGACTTTTGCATGTGTTTCTGATTTTTGTCTTCTGTGCAATGACTAAAACTTATTTCACATTCTCTGAAAACCTCACAAATTTCTACAATTTGTGCATGACATTTTAAACTTTCCTTCCTCTTTCTTAATGGTTTTAATCCATGTTATAATGTTCTTTTCTCATCACAGACAGACCTGAAGTTGTGTTTTGTTTTATTCACACGTGATTGAGTAACGCTTTAATATCAGTTTGTCTTCATCTCTTAAGCTCAAAATGATCTGTTCCACCTTGTGATGTCATGTAGTGGTAGTTTTCATATTAACAGCCAGATTTTACCTTTAGTTCAGTAGAGATTAGCGATTCCAGAGCTGAAATCATTCAAATAACTCCAGTGAAGATGTATGGAGCATTTCCTGTATTACAACATGACATCACAAGGTGGAACAGAGCGTTTTCAGTTTGAGAGAAGAACTCATAAATATGCAGGATGTGCGTGTTAAATATGTGTGAATGAAACAAAACACAAGTCCAGGTGTATTATCTTCACTCCTTATATTTTATGTTCTGTGCTTATTTGGAGATTATTGGTGCTTCGATCCCAGCTCAGAGTTGCCGTAGTGTCCTTGAGCAAGACATTTCACCCAACTTGCCATTTAAATGAGAGAGGCTAATATTGAGATGGTCAGTCTTGCTTGCCCCAGTCTCCTCCAGGGCACTTCTGTCGCTTGGGCAATCACCCTTGAGTGTCTTGAAATCCACTGTATAAGACTTTTTCTTTGTTATTTTTTTCCCTTTGTTAGTTTGACTCAAGTTCAAATCTGATTCAAAGCTATAGCAATTTTTGTCTTCTGTGCAATGTTTTAAACTTATTTCACATTCTCTGAAAACCTCACAAATTTCTACAATTTGTGCATGACATTTTGAACTTTCCTTCCTCTTTCTTAATGGTTTTAATCCATGTTATAATGTTCTTTTCTCATCACAGACAGACCTGAAGTTGTGTTTTGTTTCATTCACACATGTTGAAAATGCTTTGTTGTCATGTAGTGGTAGTTTTCCTGTTAACAGCCACATTTTACCTTTAGTTCAGTAGAAATTGGCGATTTCAGAGCTGAAATCATTCAAATAACTCTGCTGAAGATGTATGGAGTTTAAAAACACAGTGGAGAGAAGAACTCATAAATAAACAGAATGTGTGTGTTAAACATTTGTGAATGAAACAAAACACAAGTCCAGGTGTGATATCTTCACTTCTTATAGTTTATGTTCTGTGCTTTTGAAGGTTGACGCTTCGATTCTAGCTCAGAGTTCACATTGCCGTAATGTCCTCGAGCAAGACATTTCACCCAACTTGCCATTTAAATGTTGTGTGCGAGTGAGTTTTCAGAGAGGCTGATATTGAGATGGTCAGTCTTGTTTGCCCCAGTCTCCTCCAGGGCAGATGTGGCGCCTGAAAACTGTACAAGACTTTTGCGTTGTTA